TGGGAAACGGCCCCCTGCGTGACTGCAAGCATTGGGGAAATGGAACCACTCGTTCCTTGGTTTGTCACCTCCTGCAATTCAGGCCCTAGGCAGAACCAAGGGCTCCTCACTCTGGGGTTTAATTCTGGACCCAGTCCGTGTCAGCTGGGGTCCGTAAAGCAGGGCCTGGGTCCCAGAGGTCACCACCAGGCCAGGGAGGCTGCCCACGGCCACTACAGAACTGCTGGCTCTCCTCATCGCTGGGTCCCCAGTAGTTCTTACCCTGGGCCACCTGCCCACATCCCTTGCAGGCAGTCAAACCTCCTAGTGAGAACTCACGTCCCTGTCCCAACCTGGTATTATATCTGAGCAAGCCTCCCTGCCAGAGATATGTCAGACTCCATAGGGGGAAATGTGTTTTAATCCGTTTCTTTTTTCTTATTACAAAATGTGGACATAGAAAGATTTAAAAATCAAATATGAACACCACAAACCAAAGTTCAAACTTACCCACAATCACTCTTTCTTCTGTGGCTCAGTAAAGCTTAACACATTTATAACCACCTTTTGGGAACCGGGGAAACAATAAGGGCTTCCCCAAAACCCTCCCACCCGCCAAGAGATAATCACACGGCCACCTGGCAAAACAGCCTTCTGGTCTTTGTGGCTGGCCAGAGAGACAAGACGGATCAGGAATGCAGATTTTTACTTTTTTACAAAAGAGGTTGTACTTTACCTGGTAGCTGCTCCCTCCATTAACAACCGTTCACAAGTGCCTTTGCAGAATACAGAGATAAGCATGTCATCTGATGACCCATCTGATGACCGCTCCATCCGGGCCCTAACAACCCCCACTGTTGGACGCAGAGGGTATTTCTGATGTCTCATCAGGATGTCATACTCGCACAGACTCCGGGAGGGAGGGCACCGTCTTCCTGTTCACTGCTGCACCCCAGTGCCTGCCCGGCTCAGGGCTCAACACAGAGGGCTCCAGCGACGTCGGGCAGACCAGTGATCCCACGCAGGCGAGAGGGTGCGGCCTCCCAGCTCTGTGCCGACCTGGGTCTCTCCAGCCCTCTGTGTCCCGCAAAGAGTCTAGGTCCTCAGCCTGCAGCTGCACCCAGGTTCCCCAAGGCCATGCCAACAGCCCTCCTTGGGCCCTGCTCCTCCCTCCCGCCGCTTTCCTCTCTGCACCCTAACGTTACCCTCATTTCTCCCCAGCCCACTGCACTTCCGCCTCAACCGGAGAGCCCTTGGAACTGCTCTCAGAGGTCCCCTGCACGCCCCAGCTCCAGCGCTGGCCAGCTGGCCCGAGGGCAGCAGTGACACTCCGAGCACCCGTCCACCACACAGCATCTCCCTGCCTTCATCCAGGCTGGGTGCCACTAGCCTCCTCTCCTGCAGGGTTCCTCAGAAGTGGGTGGTGTGGCCTCCTGTGCCCCGTCATCCCACCGGGACAGGGGCCCTGAAGTCTGGCACAGCCATTCACCGCTGTGCCCCAGGCTCCCGCCGTGTGGGGCACACTCCTAGGACAGGTCTGCAGGGAGTGGCAATGGCCCATGCTGCCAGTGGAGGGGCAGGCCTCAGCCCTCCATCAAGCAACCCCCAAGCAGACCCGACTGGTGTGGCTCAGTGGGTTGAGTGTTGTCCTGCAAACCAAAGGATCGCTGGTTCGATCCCTGGCTGGGGCACATGCCTGGGTTGCGGGCCAGGTCCCTGGTTGAGGGTGTGCAAGAGGCAACCAATTCTGTTTCTCTCACACATCGATGTTTCTCTCCCTCTTTTTCCCCCCTCCCTTTCCCCCTCTCTAAAAGTAAAATAGTCTTTAAAAAAAGAGACCCCAAGTAAAGAGAGGTCGTGTCTGCAAAGAGCTCCCACCACCCCCATCTTCCAGCTAGGTGGCTGCCCCTCAACCTCGGTCCTCAAAGATCCTGGAGCCGCCGGTGTCACACAGGCACATGCGGACCGCCCCCCCCGCCCCCCGCGTGTGCTGCGTGCTCGGAGTAGGGACAGAGTGTGGACATACCCAGGATGCCACCCTGACCTAGGGAGCCAGGTGAGAGCTTGCAGAGGAAGCGAGGCTGCGCCCTGAAGAACGACCAAGGGCTCCGGGGGAGTGGGCGAGACCCTAAGTGTTCCGTGGCCCCAGGAGTCTGAGGAACAGAGGAGACCAGAGACCCTGGGGGAAGGCAGGGAGCCTGAGGCCGCAGGCCTGGCAGGACCCAGGGGGCCCTCCCTGTGGCCCAGACCCCTCAACCCCCAGGGTGTGGGCCTCAGAGCTCTGCCAGTCCCACTGCCCACCAGGTCCAAACACTCGCCCAGCAGAGCTCTGGAAACGCAGCGCCTCAGCGGGGCGGAACGTCGCCCCCTCCAGGCCCGCCCCTTCCCCGGGGCCTCCCAAGCACACAGCAGGGAGTCCCCCAGGTGGTCGGGAACTCCTCATCCTCCTTCAGCCCCAGATCCTATCTGGGCCTCCCCCTGCCCTGCACAGGGTCCCTGCTGCCCTGAAGGAGGACTTGTCCTCTTACCTGGGCCAAGGCCCCAGCCCCATCACCCACACCAGCTTCTGGCCCAGCAGCCGGGCAGCAGCCGAGCTTCCGAAATCCCAGGTCTCTCTCACACACACTCACGCTCACGCTCACACAGAAGCCCCCGACAAACATCTTCCCTGGTCCTGATCCAACGTGTCCCGGTGCCCGCTGCATGCCAGTCTCTGCTGACACTGGGACGCGGCAGCAAGGTCCCTGCCCTCTTGCGGCTTGTCTCCTAGCAAACGCCGACAGGAACCACACGCACCGTGCAGGCTGTCACGGGCGGCTGTGTGGCGTGCGGGGGACTGCGTGGTGCAGCGGGACTGGGCTCTCTCTCAGGGGCCACACAGAGCCCCCCACAGGCCAGCCCTGCGGCTGTGGCCCCCACCTCCCACTTGTGCTCACAGCAGGCCTCCTCCGGGACGCCCTGCATCTGCCTCGCATTCAGGGTCCCGCTCAAGTGCTCCCTCCCCCACAGAGCCCGCCCCCAGCTGCCCCTCTGGGCCCCAGTCCCTCATCCCGTCCGCCACAGCTGGTCCACAGGAGGTTGGCAGGTTCTTGAAGACAGGACTGTCACCTATTTCATCTCTGTGTTCCCCCAAATGTCTGGTATGTAACATGTATTTAATCTGCGTTGGCCTCCCCAACCTGGGTGTGGTGTGGGGCACATCAAGCCCTCCTTCCATCTCACCTCCTTTCTGCAGGGTTTCTCCTCTAAGAGGCTTCCCTGCTCTCACCCGCAGGAGCAGGGAGTGGCCTGGCCCCCAGAAGCCAGGAAGGTCAGAAACCGACACCCCTGTCCAGTTCCAGGACCCAGGCCCACTCTCAGGTGTCCTTCGGACCCACCGACGCCCTGGGGGTGACGGGAGCGCAGCCACCCTTCGCAGAGCAGAGCGTGGGCAGGAGGCGCAACGCCCCACAGTGTCACCTCCCAGCTCCTCGGCAGGCTTCCCACCCTGAAGCCCATGCCCACGTCCTCAGGGGTCCCACTGTCCCCTCCGTCCCTCCCCCGCCCTGCACCACAGACGGCACGTGGCCTTGCCACACGCTTCTCTGGAGAAGTAAACCCAGTACAATGCGCCAAATAGGTGCCGAGGGCCTGCCTTCCCTCCCGAATGATGGACAGGCAGCCTGGCACCCTTTCAAGGACTCGCTCCCATCAACTCTCCCCTCCCTCTGCCGCCCGCCTCGCAGCCTTTCCCCACTCTTGGATCACTCCCAGCGCACAGAATGCAGCAGGCAAGCCGGCCTGAATATCGCTCCCTTCAAAAGCCTTCCGGAGCTCGAGCGCGCGCCCGCTCTCCGGGTCTGGGTCTGGTCTCTTCTCCCTTCCCAACAGAACTCCTAAAGGGGAAGTGAGATGTCAAGGCCAAGAGCTCAGCTCTGCAGCCAGACCGCCCAGCTCCACATTCCGGCTTCTGGACTTGGGCGAGGGGCCTCTGCCGCTGCCGTCCCACGCTCCACGCTCGCCCCAGCTGCCCTGCCACTCCGCCCTGCAGCTAGCTCTCTCCGCGGCTCCTCCTCAGGTCTCAGCTCTCATGTCCTTAAAGGTGACTTTCCTGACCCTTGTGGTTCAAGAAACCCCCTTCCCCACCCTAATTGCTGTTCTTTTCTGCATAATACATACTACCTGACAGTCTCATACTGGGGATTTGCTGCTGCCATCCACACCAGAATGAGCAATATGCAGCCACTGTTTGTGAAATTATGCAGCCCCAACCTGTGATCTCAGTATCCTTGAGCCCATTTTTCAGATCAGGAAGCTGAGGCTCAGAGATGAAAGCAACCAGCTAAGGGGCGGGCCGGCGGCTGAGCTCAGGCCGGCCCGACTCCAGAGGCAGGACTCTCGGACAGCAGCTCTCCCGTGGCCTGGGTGAGACCTCTAAGGCCAGGAGAAAAGACCGAGGGTGCTCTTTTCTGAGAAGACTCATTTGAAGACAGGAGCCCAGGAGCAGGAGTGTTTAAAGAAGTGTCCAAGAAGTGTCAGGCACAGGAGCCCCCGAGACTCCTGACTCCAGCACGGCAGAGACCAAGGGGTGAAGAAGGAGGAGCAGACGACAGCCTCCTAAAAACTGTAGGGGCATGTTTCCCAGCCAAGGCCTGTCCGAGAGCTCCCCCAGACCAGTTTGGAGCTGACCCAGGCATCCGAAGGGGCTCTTCTCCAAGGAGGGCCAACAGCAAGCGCTGGGCCCTGGGCTGAGCATCTTCACTCCTGGCACAGAGTCAGTGACCTACTGAAGACCTTACAGCTGGGGCAGGAGACAGCCAGGACCCGAGTCCAGGTCCCTGTGCCCCGTCTGCTCGGGCAACCATGACACATCCAGCAGGGTCAGCCTTCCCACAACCCAGGAGAGGCTCACCCCAGACCCTGGGGAAACAGCTTGGGGCCCTAGACTCCAGGGCCCAAGGCGAAGGGGACTTGGTGGGGGGACAAACAGTCCTGTGGAGATGGAACAAGCACGTGGCATGAAAAGACACAGGTGACAGGTGCAAAACAGAGGCTTTAATCCAAACAGCAATGAAGGCGCAAAGGGGCGCAGCAGGCCTGCAGGGACACGGAAGCGGGGGCCGGGAAGGTGGGGGTCTGGTTCCTGGGAGGGAAGCAGGCCCTGAGGGAGCCTCTCCTCGGGAAAGTCTTTCTGTAACTCTTGTGACTCCTGTCCCAGCCTCTGCCCAGACCATCAGCCCAGATCCAAGGGTCAAACTCCTGAATTGTGCTTCTCGGGGGCTCCCCTTTCCCAAACGGTATGTGGACCCAGACACAAGGAGGGGCTCGTGGAGGAGGGCAGGCCTGGACTTGGGCAGGGGAGTCTGCAAGAGTCAGGCCCAGGAGGAGCCCTAGAAGAAAACTCTGGAACTGACATGCTGCTACCAATGCCCCTCACCCCTTGGGTGGTCCTGCCCATCCTCAGAACCAAAGCCCAGGCTTGGGAGGCCATCACCACCTCATCCTGGACGCCAACAGGCGAGTTCTGGGAGGTGGAAAGATGAGGGAGTGGGCTTTCTGAGCCCTCCTGGGCAGGGCGGGAAGCAGGGCTAAGGGCCTCGGAAAAGCAGCAGCGAGGAGGGGACAGAGGTGGCCGTAAGAGTGTGCCAAGAGGAACCCAGGTTGTCCGCAACCACAATAGGCCCCAAGCCCCTCCCTGGTCTCTGCCCCCTCCCAGCCAGAGACAGCTTTGGAAGGGCAGGCCTCCCCCAGTGAGCCCTGAGCAAGCCCTGCAGGGCCCTCCCAGGAGCCCAGCACCTACCCAAAGGGCAGTTTCCAGAGGCTACTCTCAGGGAGGACAGGTGTGGCTATGGCAGAAAACTCTGAAAAGCCAAGGGCCAGAGAACAAAAAAGCCGGGATGAGGCACTGAACACAGGTGCTCGAAAGCCCAGGGGCAGCTGTGAGGAGGAGCTGGGAGGGTCACCGGACAGCCAGCGCTTCTCCCTGCCTGCCCCCGACCCCAGGCTGGCCACCAGCCTCAGCCTTCAGCCCTCAGAACACCCAGACACCCACCCAAACATGGCTTGGGAAACTGACCCACCTGTCAATTGACCCAATCCCCGGAAAGCAACAAATCAGCAAAATACCTCCCCTCCCCAGAGTGGCACAGAACCCCCTGGGTCTCAGAACTGGACTGGACAGAGGGAGGAAGAGGAAGGCCAGGAGCAGGGGTGGGGCCCAGAGACCCTGTCCCAGCCCCTCTCTTCTTGATCATCTACCATGGCAGAAGTCGGAACTGGCCACACTTTGGTCGCTTCTCCCAACTTGGGTCCTGTAGCCTCACACCCTGAGCCTTCCTTGACCCCACATTCACCACCCACCCCAGTAAACAGCCTCTCATCAAACAGAAAGAATAGAGGGAGGGGGCGGGAGGGGCCGCAGCTGGGGTCAGGAAGGGCAGGCACGGGAACTGCGGCCTGGATGGTGCTGGCCGCTCAGCCCTCCTAGCACAATGAGACGGGCTGGATGGGCAGCAGGCTCCCAAACTTGAAGTGCTGGATCACGGGGAACTTCTCCAGGCACTGTGAGGGAGGAGGGGAAGAGCGGAGAGGTGAGGGCTGCACGGCACCCTGCCAGGGCTGCTCAGGCCTCCGAGGGGCCTCTGGACACCTCTGGAGGCTCAGACCAACGCAATTCAAAAGGTGTCCCAGGACCGAGGAAGAGGTCCAGTCTCAGAGTGAGTGAGCCCCCAGTCTTTGGGGAAGGGCAAGGCTTCCTACCTGTTCCTGACCACCCCCTCCCACCCAAAGACCCCCCACTCCATGAAAATCAGACCCACCAAATGAGAATGAGAGAGACAGAGAGAGAGAGAGGGAGAGAGGGAGAGAGGGAGAGAGAGAAGGCAGCCCGATCCCCCAAATCAGAAGCCAAGAAAAGAGGCAGCCAAGGGAGATCACTTGACTCAGAGGGGGAGTTGGGACCAGAGGCAAAAAGCACCCTCTAGATCGTCGGAGGACCCTCTAGCCCAAGTCCCAGCTCTGGGCAATAGGTGTGAGGACAACGGTACACGAGTCTGAGAAGAGTCCAAGGTCCATTTTCTCCAATTTTCAGTTCTTTGGACTGAAAAAGGCATCTTGGCACTTCGGAGAGAGACAATAAGAACCAGCTGACAGCCCCCCACCCCCGGGGCCATTCCCAGCAGCCCTGTGTGTGGGGCAGAGAACAAGAGCACTGAGCAAGGGGCGGTCTACTCCCCAAACCCAGCCCACCAAGGCCTCAGCCCCAGAACTCTGGCAAAGGAGAGAAGATGGAGAGATCAAATGACCAACCACAAAGCCGGCCTGGTCCCCAGGCCGCCAGATCCCAGGCCCGCTCCGCTCTGCCCTCCGGCTGGGGCACTGCCTCACAACCACAGGGCCGGGGGGGCGGTGCCCAGCGCCCGGCCGCCCTGCACACAGGCCCTGGTCACTTGCCAGCTCTCACCGGCAGCAGCTCCAGGCGCCCTAGGATCTGCCTCCTCTCACAGAAACTACCAGAATTTGTTGGGCACCTCCTCACTGGGGTGAAACAGAACTTACAGCCTCAGAGCGGGTGAGGAACCCATTCTATGACTGTGGTTTCAACTTCCAACTAAGAGCGACAAAGGCATGCCATGCCAGGCCCAGGTCCCCACACCTCGGCAGCCAGCTGCAGAAACGCGGAGGGCCCCTCCAGCTGTGTGTGTGCACCGCGCGTGCGTGTCAAGTGTGGGGGCGGGCCACGAGGACGGAAGGGAGGCTGGGGGGTGAGCAGGAAAAGGGAACTCTTTTGTACAGTGGAAGAAGGCCGGGGAGCCAAGCTCAGTGTGGGAGCAGAACCCTAGGCCACATCCAGGCTCCCAGGCCTGGGGCAGAGAAAGCGGGGAGCAGCTGCTGGGGGTGGCCCCTGGGGGGAGGAGCAGCAGCAGATCCAGGCCAGAGGCAAAGGCAGCTGCCATTGTGCTTAAGTCATGGAGGAAGTGGTGGGAGTTTGTAAGGGGGGGGCAGGGCCCTGGAATTCCAGAAAGGGTCAAAGGTCAACCTGCTTCTCGCTGCAAAGGCTAGAGGCTTGGGGAGGGGGTGGGGCAGAATTCCTGCCACTCTGCCCTCAGGGACCCAGAACAACCTTCCCCAGGCCCCAGAAAACGCAAGGGGCTGGGCTGCAGCAGGGAGCTGCCCTGCCTGGACCATCGATGGTCCAGGGTGACAGCCCAAGAGAGCCCCACGTCGGGCCTTTCTCCCAGCTGAATGTGCCCTGGGCCACCGTGCCCTTCAGAGCAACACCTCAGCCTGTCCCTGGGCGGGCGGGCGGACTTTCCAGCTGGAGGCACCAGCCCGAAGGCCCTTCTGGGCCTGGTGACTCCAGAGGGGAAGATGCCGGCACAGGAAGACAACAGGCCCCCCACCGCAGGCCCCGGAAAGCATTTGGTTCTTCGGTTCAGGAAGGCCAGGACAGGCAGCTTGCAGATGTGGACAGCTGGCCCCAAATCCTGAAGCCACCTAATGTGGGGCCTCTGTGACAGCTCAGGGGACAAAACCCCCTTCAGCAGCCAACTCTGGCTGGCAGCACTGGCCTTGCTAAACCCTTCCTGACTTCAAGACCGGTGGACTTCGCCACACAGACTGAGAACGGGTCTGGGAAAGCAAGTCCTTTCTTTAGACCTCTGGGCAGACAGCATGTGATCCTGTGGACTCTGAGTGACCAAAGACCCCAGGCCGCCTGCCCCAGTGCCAACCACCAGAGACTTGGCGTTCCTGAAGTCGCTGAGTCCCAGGGCTGTCCTACTAAGAAGTCTGGCCTCTGCGCGGCACCTGGCAGGGCTGCAGGCTCACACTGCGCCTGAGTGCACCCAGAGCTGGGACTCCCTGTTTTCAGGAAGGGCGCTTCGTTTTCTGCTCGTGCTCCCTCTAACTGGTCCCAAGCTGCAGGCAGTTTTGGTCCCTGTCCCCCTGTGGACACCCACAGACATACTGACAACTGTCACACAGGACTGTTTGTCTGCACTACACTATCATCATTTTGAATCAACCCAGAGTTCATTCGCCTCTTACGAGGCAGGTGCAGAAGGGTGGCGGGGTCTCCTGTTCTGCCCTTAGGGGCCCAGGTCCAGATAACTTTAGTTACTCAAGGAAAGGCTGCAGGCAGAACAGCATTTTAAGACCCCAAATGGGAGAGGCACTGAAGAGTCCTGCCTGTGATACCAGGGGTCGGGGGTGGGGGGTAGTTGGGGGTGGGAGTGGCTCAGCAGGGTGCCAGAGCTCCCCATCAGCACCCACTGTGAGACTGCTGGGGGGCAGGCATGTCAGGAACAACAGGACACCCAGAGGGCAGTGACCAGGCAGGAGAGCGCGAGGAGAGGGCTGGTGGCTGCCCGGAAGCCTGAGCGGCCCCAGCGAAAGCGCCTCTCAGATTAGAGAGGTATGTGGGCTGGAACCTAAACACAGGATGTGAAGTCCAGAGGAAAAGGACTGGAGGGGGAGGGGCGGAAGGGAAAGAGAGGGCCAGGCCCGGTCAGTTCCAGCATCATTAACCCCTTCAGAGCCACGGAGAACACGCTCAGCCAGCATTCATCCTACCAAACCAACCAATCAGCCAAGCCCAGTCCCCCGTCCCCCACCCCTGCGCCTGGCCTCTGCAGGCGGGACCCGAGGAGCCCTGGGTGCCACGCCACGGACCTGGAGGCCCTTCACACCGAGGGAGACGGAGGGCCGGGTCCACAGGGCGGGCCCCACAGACAGCATCTGAGGCCCTAGGCTGAGGAGAAGAGACTTTGGGGACCCACTGTTCCAGGCGAGGGACTTCACACCCAGGCCCTCCTCTGGCCAAGGTCTAGCAGTTCCAGACTGGTCTGCCCAAGATGTGGAAGGAGCTAGTGGTAAGGATACAGTGGAGAGAAAAGGTCTCCTCCCTACTTGCCAGAGAAAAAGCCACCTCCTTGGCTGGGAGAAGGGTGCCAAGGAGGACAAGGAGAGTGGGCAGGGGACACCCTCAGGAGCTCAGCAGCCACCGCCCAGCAGGGGGCGCTTCAGAAACTGACTGTACGGAGGAGGAGGACCACCTTGAGTGGTCATTCAAAATGCCGGCTCCCACCTGTCCAGCGGTCAGACACCCAAGTTTGAGAAGCACCACTCTGGAAAATGCCTCCAAAGGATAAAGCCCTTTCCCGAGCATGTCTTCCTTTCTGTGCCCCCACAGGGCGGCAGAGCCGCCCAGCACCTCTGGCCATCTGACAAGTGGGAAGGAGATTCCCCCTCTGCCCCCAGCAGTAACAGGAATTTGCCTCCCTCACAGTGCAGAGCTGGGTCTCAGTCCAGGGCTCTTGTGACAGCCCACCCCACAGATGGAGACTCGGAGGCCTCAGCGATCAGAGGGGCTAGCTCAAGATTCAGAGCAAAACAATGGAGCGGGGCCGGGGGAACAGCAGCCCCAGGGCCAAGGGCACGAGCCGTCCCCCACTCACCTCGGCCTTGTACATGCGGATGAGACCCTGGTTCACTTTGGACCAGGTAGGGACAGCACTGATGTTCCACAGCTGGTTGGAGTGCTCTGCAAACGGACCTGTCTTCATCTGGAAGAGAGAGCTCACAGCTAGAGAGGTGGGCCACCGGGGAGCCTGCGCCTGCTCCTCTGCGACAAGGTCAAGTGTGCACGCACATATACCCAGGCACACACGTATACATGCGCACACAGACACACGTGGATGGGGCCAAGCTGCAGCATCTGCTTGCGGGGCACACACACACACAGGCACACCTAAGTACCGGGGACAAGGTCCCTCTTGGCCTGCAAGCCCCACTGGGAAAACATAACCACCAGTCATCCTCTTTCTTCCACAGCGAAAAAAGGAGGGGCTGTGATTCCTACCCTGCCAAATCTAGCCGCCTCAGAAAAAATACTCTCTACCCGAGCTCCTGTGTGCCCCCACCGACCCGCCAGAGCCACGGGGTGCCCTGACAGCACGGGGACCCACTCCCGCTCATGAACAGCAGCGGCAGCCTGCACCTCAACTCTCTCCAGCCTAGCCCCCCACGCAGGGTGGGCTCTGCCACGGGACACTTGGTCTGTACCTGCCACTGGCAGAGCTGGAGGAGCCGAGGGAGGCGCCAGTTTGGAGGAGGGCCAAGGTTGGTAAGACCAAACCCAGGTCCCGACTGCAGACGGAATGGGGGCGCCTGCAGCACATTCAGGATGGAGGTCTGTTTAGAAAGCCCCTGACCTGACCAGGAAGTGTGAAAGGATGGTAACTGCACCAGCAAGGGACAGCCAGGTCCAAGGACAGCTCCATTCCTGGCCCCTCTCTGGCCAAAACTCTGGCCTCCAGGAAGGAAGGAATTCTGCAGCAAGTCCAGTGGGGTTCCCATGACATCAGCGACCACCGCACTGAGAAAGGGAAGTCTGTGCCTGAACGTGCCCCTCAGACAGCACGAGGCCGGCACGTTCACATTGAACAAGCAGTTCACAGTCCCTTCAACACCGCCCGCCTCCCTGGCTGATAAAGCGGGACTGATGCAGGGGGAACAGGGTTCAGCACCCTGAGCCCCAGGCTTCAGAAGAAAGAGCTGGAAAAGTAAAATTAGCTAAGCTGGCAAGGAAGCATAGACTTGGACCCTGAGAGTGTGGAAGGTTCCAGAAGAAGCTGTGCATGGAGGCGGGGCTGAGGGAGACCTATTCCGGAGAGAAAGGAGGGCTCTCTCTGCATACTGGGTATCACAAGAATAAAGGCCCAGGAGCACGTCACCACCACAACCCCCCCACCCCCTCCAGCTGTGGTCTCCACCAGGTGGCCCATTCCCACAGGCCTTCCCACTTCTTCAGTAAGGACAGCTCTTCCGAAGCTGCCCTTTGACTGGTCACCTCCCTCTCCTGGCCCAAGTCCCCCCAAAACCTGTCTAAACCCCCAGGTTCAGTACAACAGGCTCCTTCCTCCAGCAGTAAGGCCACGGCCCAAGGCATTGGACACAGACAAACCCACCCTGGTGCCCTCAGGGCTTCTCCTGGGCCAGTCCCTTCACCCAGAATCTCTCCCCTCCTCTATCCACGGCTCCCTCCTCCAGGAGGGCAGCCAGGTGCCCCAGCCTGCAGGAGCCTGGCCTTCCTGGAGCTCGGCTCCCAGAGGCCCACTCAAGCAGGCTCCACCCCCAACCTCCACCTTCCCACGGGCCCCGCCCCTTCCCCAGGCTCCCTGCCCTAGGGGATGGGGCCTGGCTCCAGCCCTCTCTTGCAGGCTTCAAGGCCCTGAGCTCAGGATCAAGGGAGCTGCGGAACCAGTTTCCCTGTGGTCAGGGCGCCAAGAGCACACCGACACCGCTCAGGAGGGCCTTGCGGGCGCCATCCCACTGCAGCAGCCCCAGGGGCCCGTTCAGCGACGGCGCCCAGCGCACGCGAGGGAACCAGCCGCTCTGCTTCCTGGGCCCCAAAAAGGCCTCTCTGAACTGCTGACGGAGCGAGGGGGAGGCCTGAGCTCCAGAGCCCCAGGGTCCCTGCCCCCACCCATGAAAAAGCCAGAGATGCTCATTCTCTAGAGCAGCTGCCCCACTCCCACCCCCAGGCCTTCAATGTCCCAAGGTCTCCCCAAGTCCTTCCAAAGGAGACTTTGCAACTCTGGGAAAGGAAAACAGATGAAGGGAAAAAAGGAATGGGCAGGAGAAGACAAAAAAAAAAAAATATATATATATATATATATATATATCAGCTCACTCTAGCCACAAAGGGAGAAGAGAAAGAGCGAGAACAAGCGAGCAAGCTGCAGTCCCGCAGTGACCCCAGGGGAATCGAGTGAGTCAGAGCAGCCATGTTGAGCAGGAAATTACTCACAGACGCTGCGTTCCTGCCTCTCCACTCCCAGGAGAATCGGCCTTTTGTAAATGGTTCCTCTGTCAGTAACCGAGGGGGATGGGGCGGGGGTGGGGGAGGCTCTGCACAGCGCCTTCCTGTCAGCTCCTTCCCTTCCAGCTGAAATCTGATCCCTCCCTTCCCAAAACTCCAAATTTAGAAGCCAGATTGAAACTGAAATTCTTTTCCTGCCTGCCTTGGGCTCTTAAAGGCGCCAGGGCTGCATTTCCTGAGGCGGCGGCAGCTCTTCCAGGTGGGTCCCTCTTCTGGCATGCCCAGGGCTACCGGGGCAGGGCCCAGGCTGGTGCTCCAGCCCTGCGAGAGACCGACCAGGCGGAGAAGCTCGGTGCTGTTCCCAGCTTGTTCTGCTTCGTCTGGCCGCACCAGCCCTAGTGGTCACCAGGGCTGCGGGGGCACACCGCCCCCTTCCAGACCACAGGGCGCAGCACTGCACACTGGCCTCCAGGCCCCTGCCGGTGGCCAAGGCCCTGGGCCTCCCTGTGTCAGGGCGGGCCAAGCCAGGGCCCTCGCTCGTCCACTAGGGGCTGCAGAACGCTGACCTCGGGGAAGCGTGCAGGGATTGGGGGTACCCTAGATGCTGCCATCAGCAGCCAGGCCAGGTGGGTGAAAGGGAGCCCTCTCTACAGTCACCTCGGCTCTGAGACACACCCCTCCTAGCAACAAATGTTTACCACCATACCAAACACCTAGACCCAAAGTGAAAACCAGGCCTTGCAGAGAGGGTGTGGAACAACCGTGCGTCTCCCCAACTAAATGGTAACCAAAACCTTCTCCAAGTTCAACGTGCCTTTAGTGCCACCTAGTGGCCAGTGTAGGATTTTATTTTTATTTTTTATTTTTTCCTCTCTAGCAGAGGAACTGGATCCCAAACTTTGGGAAAGCTTCAGGATTTTTATACCAGCATAACCAACCAACCAAACTAAAATACAAAGTTTTAACCAGGAGTCAATTCCCGTGTTCCCCGCGGCCAGGCATGGCCCTCCTCCTCGTCAGTTACTGACAGGGACCCAGGCGACTGGTCTGCCACCAGGGGAAGCCAAAACAATTTAGCCCTTTACCCTCCAAGTGAGCCAAGCCACAGCTCAGCATAACACGTGCACCCTGGCTCCCCTCCCTACCCCTCAGGGCCTCCTGGGACGCCCCGGGGCTCCCCAGACCCCTGCACTCCACTCGGGGGCGAGCAGCGAGGCTGGCTCTCACAGCAGAGAGCCAGGCTGCCCCATAGTCCTGACCACAGGCCCGCTACACTGCCGAAGGCAGCAGCCTCTGCAAAAGAAGCGGTAGCCGCCCACCCATCAGTCCCAGGTCCATTTGCTGACTTGGAAAAAACACGTCATTTCCCTCTGGCCTCTGGAGTTTGGCAGAGGCCTGAGCCAAACGCTGACCAGGATGAGCCTGGAGCTACAGCTGCTTAACCAGGCTTCTCCCTGTCTTCAGGGGGCTCAGAACGGGCAGACACACCAGCTACCTCACAGGCAGAGGTCCGTGGGTATGCCAGGGATGACACTGGGGTCACCAGACAGGCATGCGGGGGTCAGGAAAGAAAACAGGACCCTCTCCAGACAAAGCTTTGGAAGGTCGAGGGGGCGGCTCCCAGGCAAGAAGAATGAAAGGCTGTCCCCTGGAAGAAAAGCCCTGAGAGCGGCGGGTCCCTGACTTCCATGGCAGACACCTGAGAAGTGTGTTTAAATACAGGTTCCTAGCTCTCCAGCCCCAAGATTCTGGTTCAGAAAGCTGAGGTGGGGCCCAGGAACTTGCCTTTAACAAGCTCCCCAGACAACCTTGAGGAACGGCCTGAGGCTGCACAGTGGGAGGCCCGGGCAGGCGGCCCATTCTGGGTGGGCGGGGTCGGACCTGCTTGTTTTCACCTGTGGCTCTTCAGCCGGCCCCTGTCCGCAGACCCAGACAGAAATGTGTCCCATCAGAGAAATCTGTCCTGCCATCCACTCCAGAGTCTGTCCACCCCCTGAAATGGCTTCACCCCACACAGCCACACACACACGCAGCTATACAGGCCTGTGGGCCCCACCTGCAAGATGCTGACACCCACCCATCCTTCAGACCTGCTGCATCAGGCACCAAGTCCACTAGTGAGTGAGCTTAGTCCCTCAGTTCCAGCAGAAACCCCAGACCAACTGATGTGGGGGAGGAGATCCTGGACATCAGAAGTTGACTTCAACTTTCAGAGAGGCCTAGTGGGGCTCCCCTTTCAGTGACCCACCTTCCGGGACTGCCGGGACTGCCAGCCCTGCCATCTTTGGGCAGCAGCCCGGTTCTTCTGTCTGAAGCCGCTGGCCTCAGTTCACTGCAGCCGGGACGCTGCTGTGGGCTCTCCCTTGTCCTTCCCTCTCACCTCGGTGATAAACAGGATGCACTCCAGGAACATGTAGTCCTTGTGGTTCTCATTCACGGCCTTCTCATCCACGAAGTGCCTGGGTTCCAGGTACGGATGATCTGGGGACAGCAGAGGGCCCCGGAGTTCAGAGCCAGGCGCTCGCCCCACAGGGGCGCCTCCACCCGCAGGGTCCGCACCCACCCAGGGCCGCCATCCTGCCTGAGGGCTCTGACACTGGACTTCACGGGGGCAGTAAACAGCCTCAGGGGCGCATACACTCTAGTGCAGTCAGCTTCGAGTCTGCCTCTTTTTAGCCATGTGACTCAGTCCCCTCATCTGTGCAATGGGGATAAGAAGAGCACCTTCCTTGTAGGGCTGTTGAGAACCACCTGACAATCACGACCACAGAAAGACACTCAGCACAGTGCCTGCCGAGGTGTTAGGCGATGATTCCCAGGGTCATTGAGAAGCTTCAAGGAGATAATCTACCCGAAGAACTTAGAGCAGTGCTTGGCATAGAGCACGTGCTCAGCACTGGTCACTTGTTAATATTATCTTGTAGTCAGTTACACCTATGTCGAAACAGAAGCTATCACTGCACCCTCGCCCACTTTGGCCTGCTCGTGGGAAAGCGGGGGACCCACTAGAGTGGGCCCATAGCAAGCGGCCCATGGCCTAGCACTTGGTGGCAGCCCCCGATGGGCCCCTTGCACAAGGCTCTATGATGACAGTAGATGACAGCGGTCCCTGAGTAAAACAGCCCTTGATTTTCAGCATAAAACCCCACAAGCTGCTGCCAGGAGCGGGGGTGCATTTCACGCTGGTCCATGATGAGCCAGGCGAGAGCCCCGCTCCAGCCCGCGTCACTTCCCAGTACCTCGGAGGACCTCTGCCTCTGCCCCCACCCCGCCTGCCACACCGGCAGGTAGCAGAAGGTCGAAAGCAAGCAGGTTGTCGACAGCCAGGACAAGGCCTGCCTCCCAGGCTGTCACTGTCTGGGCAGGGCGGAGCGGGGCCGGGAGGAGGGACATAGAACACACTCTGGCGGGCCGGGAGGTGTGCGCCCCACTTCAGTACCTATCAGCTGCGAGCTGCCCCAGATGAAGGGCAGGAACTGGAAGTCGTCGAGGCCCCACACTCCCTGGCTGCCTGCTGGCTCCATCCTGTATGTTTTCTGAAGTTTCCGCATCACCTCAAGGTACCTGCCCAGGAGGGGGGGAGGAGGGGGTGGGAGCAAAAGCAAAAGAAGAGCCTCAACCCTCTGCCAGTGGGAGTGCAGGGGGCCGGAAGCAACCACCTAAGAGCGTCATGGGTCCCCGTTTCAATGAAGACCTACACACACAAGTTATGGTCAGCTGCTACTCGCCAAATAATGTTGCTTTATTTTTTCTCTCCCACATTCAGCCTTCTTTTAGCCCAGGAAAGAGGCAAAGCAGCTCCTGGGAAAGGGCATCAGTACCACCAACTCCCGACAACGGTAAGGCCCTGGGCAGGAGCCTCAGCTTCTGCTCCCCGGGCTCGCCAGTGTGGCCAGGGGCTGCATCCCAGTCACTACGGAGCCCCGCATCGTGGCATCGTGCGCATGGGGGCCAGGACGGGCACTGTCAACGCTCTGGTGGCTGGAACACACCTGTGCTCCAGGTGGTTTGGGTGCTGAGGGGGCGCAGGTCAGAGCCTGACTACCTGGGTTCACCTGGCAGTGTGACCTCAGTGAACAGACCTCGTTTCTCTGCCTCAGCGTCCTCATCTATAAAATAGAAAGGACAGTTGCTACTTCCTAGGGTGATGGTGAGAATTACAGTCACATGCTGCTACCAGGATATGTTCTGAGGAAGGCACTGTTCAGTTACTCCACTGCCGAGCGAACATCACAGAGCGCGCTTACACAGACCTAGCACGTGAGTTGTGTGCAGAGCGCTGAGCCCGGGCCGCCACATGGTGACCACCACGGAAGCATTAGCAATCACTTCGTAACATTCCTTCCACTGACTATTGCCTGAACTTGAATCTGTTAGAAGCAGCGCTCCCGGGCAGCCCACCCGCAGCTGGATGAGGACAGACATCAGCACCCTGTGCCCAGTCTGACAGTGACAAGGAAAGAGACCCCCGCACTCCTCCTCCTCCCACTGGCAGTCGCCCTCCGCACTCACCGATTGAACACCTTAAAGACAATAGCTATTTGGTCGTCCACCCGGAGCACCCCAATCTTGCAGAGACAGCAGAGGAAAGAAGCAAAGGCTGCTTCGTGTCCTGAGGGAGTGAAAACAGCCAGGGTTGACAGTCTTCCAAAAACAGGAGTGAGATCGCTCTCGGTCTCACCAGTGTCCAAATCACTGAGGCGTGCCCCTCCGAGGCGGCGGCAACATGGAGATTAGGGGCGCTCTGCCCTCCCCAGAGAGACCTTGGCTCTTTTAAGAACGACTACTACTGTAATTCTACTCCTAATGGGCCCACAAATAGGCATTTATGTTTTATTTTGTAGGTTTAACTCACTAATTCCACAGTATTTATTGAACACCTACTACGGGGGCAGTCGCTGTCCATGTCAAGCACCAGAGAGATAGTCCCTGGCCCTGTTTGACAATTTATGACAGACATTAAATACATAATCACGTCCATGATTCTAGCTCTAGAGGAGAATAGGGTGACAACTACAGGATGTCACGGGGGGACCCTGGCATAAAGGCTCAAGAAGGTTTCCCTAAGGAAATACTATTTAATCTGAAACCTGAAATATAAATGAGAATTGGCAAGGCGCAGGAGCGAGAAAAGCAAAGAGAGCATTCTGGCCCGAAGAAACAGCATGTGCAAAGGCCGTGAGGCAGGGAAAGAACCTGCTGTCTGCAGAGCCCTAAGGCCAGTGTGGCTAAAGCAGAGAGCAAGGGAGGAAGTGCAACGAGACGCGGCCGGATGAGACAGCCTTAGCGGCCAGAGTGAAAAGCTGCGCCTTCACCCTCAGAGCAATGGGGAGCCACTGAAGGCTTCCAAGCAGGGCACGGGCTAAGCATGGTCACATTACAGGGGAAAGGCAGGCCTCCTTCATCCTTCCCCACTCGCGTCAAATAGGAATGGTCAGCAGTACAGAAAACACTGACTGGACTTTGGACTGAATCGATGGTTCAGGGTCATAGAAAACATATTTGGAGGGAGGTGGAGAGTATTTTCAGTGACTTCCTGTCCCATTTCTGCAGAAGGAAAGTCCCTCCAGGGGCCTGGAAAGCCTGTGAACTGTTACTGTCCCCTGCACAATTTCCCATCATGACCAGCCAGAATCCAGGCCATCATTCAGGGGTGACCATCACTCTTGCAAACCTGGGAGCAACTGAGGGTGGAAGAAAAACCCGCCCCCGCTAACCTGACCAATCTCCTCTCTAGGGTCTTACCATGGGTCTTCATCAAAGCCCCACCCCTGAAAGTACCAAAACACTCAATAAACTTGTTCCCTAGCAACAAGGGGAGCCTACACAAAGCTTTCCCAAGAGCTGGGTCTAAGGGGCGCTTCTCCAGGCCGCCTCTGTAGCCTGGGCTCCTCTTAAGGATCCCAAGACCCAGGCAAGGGGAGGGCCCAACAGAGCGGCAGCACTTGCATTTGCCTGCTTCAGGGTGGGAAGAAGAGGAAAGGAGGGCCTACCAAAACAGGGGTCCTCCTCAGCCACCCCCTGACCCAGAGAACACTCCCCTGTTAAGGTGCCCACCTTGACAGCTCAAGAGCACAGGGAGTGTGGCTAAGCGCAAGGGGCATAGGGAAAGGGGGGCCATAATGCTGCCAGAGGCCACCAAGCTCTTTTATTTCTCAAGGTTTCTGTGAGCAGTTGCCTTGAGATATAGTAAGTGCTCAGCAAATCATTTTGGTGGTGGTGATGAAAGAATAGAAATCAGCTCTGCTCATTGGGCAGCATGCATGCGGCATCAGCTCCCCCTGGTGGATGAAGCCAGAGCCGCAGGAGCAGCTCCAGGGCTCCTTGCACTCAGCCTTGCTGCTCCCCAGCAGGCCCTGACAGGCTGCTTGCTCAGGGGCGCCCCCCAGAGACAACCTGGAAGCAAGAGGAAGCAGCCCAAGGCAAGGCCGCAGTGAAGCCAAATAAGTGCCGGGAATGGCCGGTACCTGTGCCATAGTCGATGCGCGTGGAGTTCCCCACTGACTCCTTTAGGTAAACAGCCACTTCAGGCACAGCCGCTGCCAGATGGGTGGGGACCACTGAGGCCACCAAGTTTTCTGCTTCCTGATAACACAAGAGACACAAAGTGGTGGCAGCAGATTATGCAGCATCCTGGGAGGCAAGCGCCTAGGGGCAGCATCTGGCTGGGACCCAGGCTGTTAGGCCAAGTGGCCTGGCTCCCTGCTCTGACTGGTCACAGAAGGAAGAGAAGGGAAGGCATTTATTTTTAAACAGAGACTACCCTGGGGTGGCTTTTCATTTGCTGACCCTTCCTCCAGGTGACAAGGTTCTGGGGGCAGGGATCTAAAGCCATTCAACTCTCCCATCTGGTAACTCACTGACATCCCCACATATGCCATCTTTCTTCGCACTCCCAGCAAGGACGCTTGTGCCCTATGCCCACCAAAAGACGTGTGCAAGGACGTTCATAGCAGCGCTACTTACAGTAGCCAAAACGTGGGAAGAAACCACAACTGAAACATCTGTTAACAGCAGAATGGATAAACTATGCTGATTCCATACAATGGAATATTATGCAACAATGAAAAATCCACTGCTACGCACAACCATGTAGATGAATGGCACAGACATAACGTTGAGTAACAGAAGCCAGACATTTATATGAAGTCCAAAAAAAAGGCAAAATCTGTCTATGGGATAGAAATCAAATGAGCTGCAGAGATTTTTGGAGCTGGGAGGTAGAATAGGAGCTTGCTCCGCCCACTCCATGCATCGACCAGGTATGGCAGTACTTCCAGGAACAGCGCACAGAAAAAGTAAAAACAAAAAGAGCTGGGGAGACATCAACTAGGAGGGTACACAAGGGTCCTGCTTAAGTGCTGGAATGTTCTACAGTTTATTATGGGTGGCGGGTACAAGGGGAAAAACACATTAGGCTGTACAGCTACAGTATGTCAGCTTTAAGTTATTACTCAATAAAACCTTTAAAAAAAACAGCTCAAGCCCACGTCCCGTCTTAGAATCCAGAGGCAGCCCAGGCCACTCTGAGGAAAGGAAAGCATTTTGATGGGTCCCTGAACTCCCCTCTGCTGCCTGTGAAACATGAGGCCAGAGAAGTGAGGACCCAAGCTCCTCTAGGTTCAGTCTACGGACACGTGGCCTGAGAATCTTCTGGAGGTCTGGGGAAAATCTGGATGCCCAGACTCCACTCGGGACCTACTGACTCTGCTTTTCTAAGGATGGGGTTGCAATCCTGCATTTTGTTTGTTTGCTTTGTTTTGAACAGGTATTGCCTTCACGTGACTCAAAAACAAACACATTATAAAAGGCATGCATAGTAAAGTCCCACTCTACCCTTGTCCCCACCCATCCTCTTCTTCCCCTGCCCTCAAAAAGAACCACAGCTTTATTTGCCTTTTGTGTATCCTTGCGGTGATGTTTCTCTATACAAATTAAGCAATACAAACATATCTTTTTATTTCTCCCTCTTTTTAACCAAAAGGCAGCTTGCAATGTGCATCATAGGCCTGGCTGCACTTTAACCTGACGGTAAATTGCAGAGGCCTTCCCTGAGCTCCCTAGTCGGACTCCTTATTCCTCCTCGCAGCTGCACAGCGCTCCATGGGAGGACGCACTACAGTGGTTTATTCACCTGACCCCCTGCAGACAGACACCTAGGATGTTTGAATCAGCTGCTAATACTAACAATGACCTACTAAACGGCCCTGTACAGAGGACTATGCACCCACATGGTGATTCCCAGAAGACAGCTAAGTGCACCTGTACTTTTGGAAAACTGACTTGCCATTTTGACACACTCCCAGCGATTCTGAGGTACCTGAAAGCCCCCCCGCAGCCCAGCCACCAGGCTTGTCTACGGCAACCTCACCTCTTCGAGTCTGGCATACCAGGTCCTGTAGGCCTTGTTCCCAAATCGAGATGGCTGGTCCACTGGAGGAGTCTCATCAATCCACCTGTCCAGTGTGTTGAGAAGAGCGACCAGTTTCTCAATGGCCTGTGGAGGCAAAATAGAGGCAGCCAAGCCACAATGACCAGGGGCCCCAAATCAGAGCCACAGAGTTGCTGAACCCGAGGCCTGGAGCTAACTGGCGTCCTCCGTGCTGTCTCCTTTCTTCCCAACCACCCTGAATATGAAAAAGACCAGGGGAGCACGGTGAGCTCCCCAGAAAGGGACCAGCACCAGGCCGAAGGGACAAGTGTGGCTTCAGTGGCAGGGTCCTCCAGCTGGCCTAGAGGAGCTGCTGGACAAGCAGGAACTGCAGCCCTGACCCCCTCCAGGGGAATTGCTGGGCCCTCTGTTTAGTCTACAATGCCTCCTCGCCACAGGAAACAGACAGGTACGGGGGAGAAAACAGAAATGACCCGTGACCCTGCCACCCAGAAATAAATGCTACTGACATTTTAACGTAGTCTTCAATCTCACCTTTCTCTAGTGTTTTCTATTGCTTATCATGGTGACAATTTTGAAGGCAGCTGGACCTGGGCTCAAATCCCAGCGGAAACACCATTTAGTTGCTGCAAGACCTTTAGCCAGTGATTTTAACTCTTTGGGCCTAGTTTGTCATCTCAAAAATGAGCATGACGACAAGCACCTCTCGAGGCTGTCATGAGGACCACCAGCAACCCAGGAAGGATGCCTAGCACAGTGCCTGGCACTGGGTAATGGTGTATGGCTATGCACAGACTCTATACACGGGGCACAGGGCACACGCTGCTTTGCAGCCTGCTGTTCCTTCATGAACCTCGTTCCCATCAACATGCAAACATGATTTTACAACAGGCTCTAATAAGTGACTAAGATTTCATTGTACCCGTGCACTACAGATGTACCAAATCCCTTGCTATTACGTGCTTGGGTTATTTCCGGTTGTTCACCACCATAAACTGCACTGTGAAGAACAACCTGGCAAATCATGTTCTGTGGCAATGCTAGGTCAGATGCATGGACGTGGTGGATGCTTTGTGGGGCCGCCGGTGTTTATGATCCCAACCTTTCCCACAAGAGGCAGGGACTGAGTGGAATCGGTGTCACAGGCCAGGGCAACATTGGCACACAAAATGTTGCTCAATGAGGAAATCAGGTGAGGCTGTCTATCCAAACCAGGGTTCTGTGAGGACAGCAAGAAAAGTGCTCCTTCCAGATGTGGCTCACAGAAAGGGGCCGCGTGAGGGGCACCAAAGGCTCAGGGGGCGTCCGGTGCACGGGACATTTGAAGCCAGATGGCCCTGGGAGGAGGGGCCCTGCCAAGAGACGGATCAGGCCTGTGTCTACGGAGCATAGCTGGTACAAGGAGACGCCTCCAGGAGTTCCTGGCACTGGCAGGAACTAACAGGGTGTTGCCTATAGGAAACATGGTGACAAGGAGGGCAAGACATGGCCGTCTGCCACACGCAGATGCTTCCCAAGAGCTGTGCATGTCCATGGGGGTGGGGGCGGCGGGCCTGAGCGAACAGCACACGTGTTGGCCAGAGCCCCTGCTGCAGAGCTCCAGGGCGCACAAATCCTGCTGCTGTCCTGCGCTTAGTGCCTCCTGCCATTACGCAGCATGACAATGCCCTCGCCTCCCCTCACCTCCCCTCGCCTCCCCGTTCCCTTTGCTGGAGGTCTGGGAGGAGGGGAAAACACGCCTGTAGAGGAGAAAGCTCCTCCATATTCGGCTGAAGCAGAGGGCCAGGGCACAGAAGCCTGCCTTGCCGAAATGTGACAGAGTGCTGCCAGAGCCTGGCTTTGTGGAGAACCAGGCCACCAGGAACACTGCAAGGGCAGAGCCGACCTGCCCCCACACAGCAGTTGGGGCTTAGGAGGGTGGTGCAATACCCCTGGCCCCAGGGAGCACTAGCAACCCTTCCAGAGATACCAGCCTTTGGTGACGTCCTGAGGGGGATCAAGGAGATGCTCCAAGCCCGGAGGAGCCAGGCCCCAGCTGCTAGCTTAGCAGGGCCAATGAATAATTAAAAGGTTCCTAGCTCTTCTTTCTGCAGAGGGATTTTTAAATTGGGGGTGGGGGCTGCCTCCATTGTCTTGGCTAGTTAGGGGACAGGAGTAAGAGGAGAGGGGACACTGGGCTGGAACCCAAAAGCACAAAGAATACTTCGACCTACACTCCTTCTCCCTAGTCCAGTGTTTCCTTTTTGGATTTCATGGACAAGTAAAATTCTCTCCAAAATTTTACCTATCAACTTTTTATTTTGCCCCCATTTTAAAAACCAAACAACAACAATAAAAAATAAGCCTCCTATCTACCATCATCTTTATTCTGCAAAAATTAAAAATTCTAACCCCCAAAGAAGCACAGGCATAACCTCAAAATGAAGGAGACCCTCTAAACATTGGCAGAGTCAAGCTCACCGCATCACCCTTGCTTCTTCCCTTCGCTAGGAGCAGTCTGGAAGCCACCACCCACAGCCACTGTGCCTTTCCCCAGTAGGGGAAATTCCTGCAGTAGAAGGCAGCAGTGAGAAGCAGCAGGAGACCCAAGATGCATCAAGCAGAAGACAGCTCCCATCCGCCACCCGTGGGCTGAAGCCACATGCTGTGAGCCGTGCCTCCTGCTGCCCCTGCCAGCAGTGGGCAGCAGCTGAGAGACCTCTGGAGACTAGATGAGTCCCCTCTGCCCGCCGAGTAAGGCGCAGCCTGCTGCCCCAGTGCTGGGAGGAACCCCAGCTCAGGAAGAGCCCCAGCTGAAGCCACAACACTACTGGACATTAGAACTGCAAAACCGCTCACGTTAACTACAGCTAATAAAGATGGCACGCCTTCTGGTACACACCAGGTACTATGCAAAAACACCCTGCACGTGGGATCTAGCGAATCCTCCCTGGGGCCATGAGTAGGTCTGTGGCTCTTCGCACTCTACAGATGAGGACATAGAGAGTCACAGGGGACAAGGCCACTCAGCACAGAATTGAGAGATTATCAAAACCTGCTCAGCCTGACCCCAGAACCCAAGGACTTAACCACCCTGCGACCCTGCCAACAGAGGAGCTCCTGCGCTGTGACGGGCCGCGTGCACAGTGACCATCATATCCTCAGAGGCAATTAAGGGGCCTGCAAGGGATTTGGCAGCTCAGAATCTCCTGGGGTAATTACAACGTTCCCCTTTAATTAGCCTTCCCTACCACATTCCCCAGCCCGCGGAGCACAGCGAGCATCCCTTGCCACAGGCTCTGGGAGAAGCCCTCTCCTACACCGTCTGCGTCCATGGCCAAGTCCCAGGGCACTGGGTGGGCCTGAGAGGAATTCAGGAAGTCACTGGTGGGCCAGCTCCCAAGAGAAGACTGGCAATCCCCTGCACAGGCCTGGCTCCCCACAAGTGACAGAAGAGGACCTTGCCCACCCACCAACCAGTTAGGGCTAGGGCTCAGGACTACGGAGGCTAATGGAGCAACGCGAGCCTCAGGACAGGTGGAGAGACTGGGCCAGGGCAGGGCTAGGCCTTACCCAACAGGCCAAGGCTATGGCTAGAGAACTGAGTGAGACAGGGCACTGAGAGAGACCCTCAGGCCGTGGCATCTCAGGTAAGAGGCTCAGGGTGGTTCTGGACCAACTGCGAAAGGAATTCAAAAGGCCCCTGGAGGCCTGGGACCCAGCACGGGAAGATGGCACCTCACAGAGCAAACAGCTGGCAGGACCACACCTTCCTGCGGGTATCAGGCTCCCTGCAGCTCTCGCCCTCCTCCACAAACAAGCCGGTTCATGAAATGGAGCCAAAGAGCACCCACCCAGCAGTGTGCCCTTCAGCTCAGTAGCTCCACTTCCAGGGATGAACCCTTAAGAAATAACACCCACAGATCTAGGTGCAAAGATATTCAGGGCAGCAATGTTTAGGGCAACAACCTAAAAGTCTAGTTGGGGGCTGTTTCAACAAATGAGGGCCGGCTCCGCAAGGCAGCCGTTCACAGGGCCGAGCGCAGGAGCTGGCGGGGCAGGGCTGGCGGCACTCCCCAAGCTGCTGGGAACAGTCGGGGACAAGGGGGGACCGAGTGAGAGGGCAGCTTTTTCACTAATGATACACATGTTTCTATCGGTAACTTCTTCAGCGAGCACGTTTACCTCTTTTGTGACCTCTTTTGATTTAAAAACGTACATAAAAATGCCAGTTAGCAAAAATGAATGCTATAAAATGGCATATTTACCTTGACTACAATTTTCTATTCATAGATTACAAAAAAAATTAGAAATACAGACACCGAAATGTCACATGTGTTTGGGTGATCTTCTTTCCGCAGTAGCCCTGCTGTGAGCAATGAGCCCATGTGACTCCGGAGCTCTTTTTGGACAGGCCCTTCCCAGCAGGCTCCCAGCCCAGGCCTACCTCAGAGACTTTGTACTCCAAGGTCAGCTTCTTCCCTTTCACACCTTCGTTGAGGGTAAGGATGAATCCAATGTAGTCGGCATATGCCTACCAAACGGGGGGAGGGAAGTGAGACGCGGAGAGGGCTGTCAGACCCCCACCCTTTACACCCCAGCCAGCCCCCAACTCCACCCGTTACCAGACTGTTTCAAGCTGCCCTGACTCCCACCCCAGGAGCAGGAGCCCTGGAAAGATAACGCCAAGCACCCCACCCGGACCTTCACTCAACACAACGGCAAGCCAGTGACACCTGGGCCTCCAGCCAGAGCTTACCGTGTGCTCACTATTGTACCACCGTCTCTTTACACAACACAACAACCCACAAGCCAGACACTATCTCTGTCCCCATTCTGCAGATGAGGAAACCAAGGCTTCAGAAGAAGTAATTTGCCCAACATCTCTTAAGACCAAGATCTCCTTAGCTGTGGAGTAGGACCCAGCCAACCAAACTCCAAAGCAGAGTGGCCGAGTATACTTGACCACCGCACTGTAGCCCCGAGAGTCCAGGGAAGCCTGCAAGGGCCCCTCCGCAGGCAATCTTCCAGGTGTTTCCCCACCACACAAGCCAGGCTGCCTGCCCCCAGTGCAGAGGCCCTGCTCCCCGGGGCGGGGACTGTTCTCTGCCCCTGGCGCGCGGCAATGCAGGGTTGCACCGCTGACCCAGAGGGTCACCCAGAACAACCCTCCAAGCCCAGGGCAAGCCCGAGCCCTCATCCTGACTAGGGCCGCTGTCTGCAGTCACCCTTGCAAATACACTGGGATGCAAGGAGAGGAGGCAGCAAGGGGCAGTGTTACCCTCCACAGTCCCTACTCCCACGTGGCTCTGGGTCTCTTGGGGACTAAAACTGAGGACATTCCTCTGAACATGGCTGTGTGCAAAGTCTCGAGTGATGCCATCACCGTCATCATCGCCACTGTCACAACAGTAAAAGACACACCTAATGCTCACTAAGGCTCCCCATGGCTCACTACATGCCTAGCACTGGGCCAGGTGCTTTTTGGGCTTTAAATCATTTAGGCCTCCAAATAACCCCATTTCATAGTGGAGAAAACCAAGGCTTGGCCAGGTTAGACAACTTGCCTAAGTCACAAGGAGAGAAAACGGTGGCCTGGGTTTCAAGCCCTGCCCCATCTGCCCCCAAGCCCACGCTCATGGCCACAGCACCCTGCTGCCTGGCGAAACACCGTGGGCCACAGCACAGAGCCACTTTTCTGGCCGCAGCAGGTCCACGGACTTCACTGGTGAGCTTCAGAGGGAGTGTCAAAGGCTTGTAGCAAGTATCATCCAACATGCACATCAGAAGAGAAAGTGACCAACGCTTCCCCAAAAGTGCTGGTGCCTAGAGCAGGACTGGCAAACTTGCCTACAATGGGCCAGATGGTAAGTATTTTAGCCTCCACGGACCACACACTCTGGTTCAAATATTCTCAACTCTGCGCTTGTAGCGTGAAAGCAGCCATGGACAACAAATAAACAGAGGCGCATGGCTGTGTTCCAGTAACACTGAATTTACAAAACCAGGCAGAGCCACCTGAGGCCGGCAATCACCTGCAGACCTGTGGCCTAGACCAACGTAAGCACAGCAGACTCCTCGCAGAAAACCTGACACACTTGCCAGGACCCCTGAAGTCCTCCCAGGACTTCTCTACAAGTGACACTCTGCACCCCAGCTGACCAGACCAGGCATAGGCACCTGGCTGAGGCTGGACCCAAGATCTTCCTGGGGAATTTGAAATTGGCTCTCTTTTTCCTGGTCGCAGTCTTTCCACAGCCTGACCACGGCCCAGGGGGACAAGCAGTTATCTTCCGCCCGCCGCGCGGCCTGAGCAGCACAGAAAGCGGGCCTGCCCCACCATGCTCCAGTTCCCAGGGCTTTAAGGCTCAGCCACTTCCCTGGCCTAGGTTTCCATGAGACAACCTCTTCTCCCTTTGATACGCTGGCTCCCCACCTTGCAGTTCCTTGTAACCAAGAATCACAGTGACGCGCTCCACCCTTTAGGGCGCTCGTGCTCGGCCAGTGCAGCGCTCAAGGCGCAACGGTGGACGAGAACCAGGAGCACGACTCTCCAGGGTTACCCTGGCCCCAGCGCCCAGAGCCCTTCCCACTAAAGCATCCCTGAGTGCTGACCCTGACAGGGAGGGACAGTCATCTCTTCTGTCACCTCTCTCCCTAGCTTCTAAGAGCTCCAAGGGCGAGAAGGGTCAGGCACTCTCAACCCATCACGCCTAGAAAACCACTGTCTTTGAAAAAACCTGAGTTTCTCCTCCCAGTTCTGACCCTGCTGTGCAGACACCACTGGTACCTGAGAACGCTTCCATTTGCCCATGTCTGGAACCGTGTGGATCTCCTTTTTTGGAATGATGAAGTTCTGGGTGGCTGGAGGGGTGTCCTCCGAAGAATCTTGACAAAGAAAATGAAAAAGCAAACAGATAAGTAGAATTCCGCTCCTCTCAACACACACACACTTTTAAACCAAGACTCCAACACCCAAGCCCTGTGTAAACCCAACACTGCCTCCCAGGACAGAGTATTGGCTTGTCCAACCAAATCCACCGGGCCTCCTGCCCTTCCTTTCTCTGCAAAAGGGTTAAGGGAGAAGTGACAGGAGACCTGGAGACCTAAGGGGTAAGATAGAGCATCTGAGATAAGAGGCAGGCAAACCTCTAACTCAGAATTCAAACCAAGGCCCGAGAAAGAGACCAGCAACTCTCTTCCTCCTCCTGTCTGTTCTGCAAGCCCCGTTCAGGAACCCAAAACCCCCTACTGTCAGTAAATTGCTACTTTAAGTAAGATGTTAAAATAAAAAGCTTTGCAGGTCAGGCTGGTAACTTAACCGCATTGTTTTTATTGCATTGTTTTTATTGCGAAAACCACTGTTTTCCCAACTTGCAAATATTCTTTGAACACAAGCCTTTTCATGTTGGAGAGAACTGTCCCCCAAGGGGACAGGCCACCTGCCGCTGTTTCACAGAGGAAAACCTCCAGGGCAAAGGTTACCCTACCCTGTCAGCAGCCAACCTCTGATGAAGCACACAGGTCTCCCTAGAACATAAAGTCCTAAATTTAAAAAAGAATTTTTCTTCTAAGCCTTCAAACTCAGGACTGTGATAAATGAAGTCAGACCCAGTCTCTGTAGCATCAGATTCTGCCTCTGACAACGGGACCACCAGACAACTGGATCCCCTGAAACCTCTCAGTATAAGATGGAAACATGCAGAGTTTTAGGCATGTTCCTAAAAAGCCCCAGAGAGTATAAGGTATTGCGTGGAGGAGCAGCCCGAGCAGTTACCTTGTACCCACTTGGGGAAGGATACCAGCTCTCGACCCTGACGGAACTGCCACGTCCCATGCGGGCCCAAGTCGCCTACGCCCCACACGCTGCAGCTCTGTGACAAAGGTCGAGGCGCCCCATTTTAAGAAAGAAAAGAACAGGGTCCCGGAGGCTGTGACTTGCCAGGCAGGGCCAGGTCCGTGTGACTCCAATATCCAAGGCTTTCACCACTTCCCTGTCTGAGCTGAGTAGTTCCCTCCACTTGTCCCAAAATGTCCCACTTCCAACTTCAGAGAAGAAACCCCCACACCAAGGTCTGAGCCCCCACCCCGCCCCCCGCAGGGCCCAGGCTCTCTCCCCACCCTGCGCCCACCACCTGCCATCAGGGTGACACCTCACTGAGGAGGCCGGTGGCCTTCTATCTCCTGACATCATTACCAGACCTCTAAGGGGACACGCACAGAAGTTCTGTATATAATGAAATAAACGTCTGGTTTCGACATTCCAAGGATCACCCCATGTGAGGCAGGGCAGAAAGAATAGCCATTGTTTTCTTTCTTTCCCTTTCTCTCTCTCTCTCTCATGTTTTATTGTTTATGCCATTACAGTTGTCCCAATTTTCCCCCTGAGCCCCCTCCACCCAGCCGGCCCCCCACGCCGACGCTGCCAAAGCACCGGCTGTGTTTTGCCAACCCATGTGCTCCTGACACAATTTTTAAAGTTTTCGTAGTTCAGGGCGGGTGACGGGGCGTCAGCAGCCTTCCTGTTCTCCAGGTTACAGGTCTCTCTGTATGATCCTGTCCCTGGCACCTCCGTCCCAGGCGTTTGGGACGAACTAAAAACAGGCCACGGTGTAAACAAAAGTTACAGAGACGGTGATGCCTGAGGCAGACTCTCTCATCTCCTTGCACAACCGGACTTTTTAAATTAGGGGTTTAGACGACCAAGGGCAGTTTCTCGCAATTAATTCTCAACCACCGAAACTGGAGGGGCTGGCTTCCCGGAGAGGGGGACAGTGCGGGGGGGGGGGCCGGGGGCGGCGGCCAGGGCGCGGAGGCGGCGGGGCTGGGGGCCGGCGGCCGCGCCCCACGTAGCGCCCCTGCACCCTGCGCGGGGTCTAAGGAAGAAGGCGGCCTCAGTCCTCGACACTTTCCTCTTCAGATCATGAGTGGACTTCAGCGCGCGCAGCCCAGACGCGGGCAAGGGCCTCCCGCCTTGAGCTGCCCACCCGACCCTCGGGCGGGCGGGCCGGGCTCCCAAGTCCGGGTGCTGCGCCCCACCCACCAGCCCCGGGTTCTTGCCCTCCCCCCAGACCCCCTTATCGCTAGTTCCTCCTCAAGGTTCAATAGCTCTCTCCCCCTCGAGTTCCTCCATTGCCCGACCCTCCCCTTCCCTGCCCCCACTGCTGGTACCACCCCCGCGACCCCCACCCTGGCCCCGCCGGGCCGGCGCGCCCTACCTGGCGGCGACTGCCGCTCGCCCTCAGCCATCTTCCTCCCGCCAGGAGCCGGTCCCGACGCCTGCAGGCCCCTCACCTTTCACTCCTGCACCCACCCTTCCTTTCCCCGTGCTCAGAGCTTTCTGAAGAGAAATGAGCACCGGCCGGCTATAACCGAAAACCAAGAATTAAAGTCACCCCAGTGGAGACGACCGCCATGTCTGTGCGGGGCACTCAGGGAGCATGCCCAGCAACGGTCGGCTCGCTACAGCAGAGCTCACTGGGAGGCCGCCGCCATGTTGGTGCGGGGCACCCGGCGCCTGCGCACCAACGGTCCGCTCGCCTCCCCACCTGACAACGGCCCCGCTGGGCATTGGGAGCGCAGCCGCCATGCTTTTGCGGGACGAGCGAGGGCTGTTGAGGCAGCCATGCTTTTGCGGGGCGGTTCGCACCTGTCATCTTTGTGCGTGGCTCTGACCCTGTCCTGAGGGATATTAGGAGACATTCTCCTATCAACACAGTTTTGTGTTACTACCACTCTTAAGAGTAGTGTTCAAGAACACCTAACACCAAACGGAGAGGAGCGCACACCAGTGCCTGCAAACCCGTGGACGGCACTTGGAGGTGGGAGAGAGCCAGCTGGACCGCGGCCGCGTGGCGTGCCTGGCCCCTCTTCTCGGGTCCCCTCGCCTCGCGGCGTCCCCGGACTGAAAACTGCGCCCCCGGCCACGCCCCGCGCTGTGGCTCCGCCCCGCGCTCGCGGCTAGCGCTCGCGGCTAGCCCCCTCGGCCTTGCCGCTGCCTGGTGACCGCCGCCAGAGTCCTCCCTGGGCCCCCAGGCCGCCAACCACCCGGCCCGGTGGGTGGGCGCGGGGCCGGTTATATCGGCTGGCGGCGGTGACTCGGCGACCTTGGCTAGGAGGCTCTGGCGGGGATCCACCCACGGTGGCAACGGCGACCCGGACATTGCCCAGCACGGGGTGCAGAGTAAACTGTGTGTCCTCGGGCTGGCCGAAGAGATGTTGGCATTCGCGGTCAGGACAGTGGTAAGTGCGTCCGGGAAACCGACCTGGCGGGCCCTGGACGGGGCGGGCGGGCCGCACGCAACTGCGCCCGAATGGGTCAACAGGCAAACAGGCTATGAGGCTGCAAGGCCGGGAGGCCGCTGTACAGCCTGGACTGAAGCCGCTGGGGTGGGGATGGCAGCTGGGCTTCCCCGGTTTGGCAGAGGAAGAAACCGAGGTTCAAGGTCAGAGGTTGGATAAACCCATGTCCTGTAGCGCTAATCTTCAACGACCAGCAACAAACAGTGGCACCCCGGCTTCAGGCAGCACCACACCCTAGACTCGGAGTCAGGGAGCAGGCAGACGTAGAGTGTCTCACTGTTATTCTCTGACTGACACACCCTTTGCACACTCATCCTGAGCCGTCTCTGCTCAGGCTAGAGCCACTTCTCCAACTCCAACCAGTTGGTCAGCCTCCTTGAACTTATCAAATGGTCCCTGGGGAATTGTGTTTGGCCAGAGAAATTCACGTGGAGGCATCAAGCTGGGCTGTCCAGAAAGTCCAGAGAACTGGCAGGAGGTGGTGACCCTAAGCCTTCCCTCTCCACCAGGCCCTCCCCCAACTGGTCCATAACAGCCACCACCCCTGCCGTCCTCCCCAGAGGACAGCCTGGAGCAAGAGGTGCTGGTACCCTGATTTGGATTCCTTTACTCTCTACTCCAAGCTTTTCTGTTTGTATTTCTCTCTGTCTTTGCCAAGAAAAACATTCAAATAGACATACCAGGCACAGAAATCAGAAGCACCTGTTCTCAGGCTTTTGGTGGATAGGCTCTTCCAGACCTTTCCCGATCCAAAGGCTCCACCTCACTCTTGCCACTGCCACCTGAGCTGTCATCTTCCAGGACCTGCTGGGTGGCCCGGCATCATCACTTTACTGCTGGGGAAGCTGAGGCAAGGACAGACGTGGCCAGAATCTTCTAGATGTGGTCACTCGAATCTAGCCCAATGTCAAAGCCAGCATCATTTGGGTTTTTTTTTTTTTTTTAATGCCTGATGTCCTTCCTTCTTGGCTCCCAGCTGAATGAGCCACAACTTGAGAGAACCACGCTTTGGTGGAAGGGTGGCCTCGAGGGACTCCCAAGAGTTCTAGAGAGAAACAGAGGGAGATCGGGGCTCCTAGTGGCCGCTGTCCACTTCTCTTCTCCCCCAGTGTCTGCTCCCTTGCACCAGCCCCAGTTTTCAAGACCGATCCCCAGGATGTGGTGTACTTGGCAGCTGGGCAGCCTCTGCCCTCCAGCCAAGTTTTCCTTCATTAAACAGACCCACATAAATTCTAACAGGTGGATTTTTTTAATATCTCTTGGCCTTCCTCCCTGGCTCTGGGCCCATCCAGAGGAGAAAGGAGAACATTTTTCAGGTTTCCTCCTACTCCAGTGCCCACCTACTCCCACTCTCTCACCTGTTCCCCATTACCCCACTTCTGGAAGCTAGGGCAGGTGAAGCAGCTTCTCCTGCCACAGCCACAACCCCAGGTGCCACCACAGCCACCGCCACTGCCCCCTCTGCCTCCCCCCTGAATCTTGGCTCTTGTCTTCTCTTTCCAGCCCAGGCAAGTGGCTGCCTCTTGCTAGGCTCTGCTCACCCACTTGGTAGCACAGTTAGGCTTAGAGATCCAGCCCAAGGCAGAGACAGACAGGGCTCAGAACCTCAGTCCTGCCATGGAGGACGGGCAGCAGGAAGAGAAGGTATGGAACGGAGCCTCTGCCACCTGCCTGCCTACTGCTGCCAGTAGCCTCGGACGCTCTCCTGTCTCTCTCTGGCCGCCCTCAGAGTCTCCTGGACTCTCTCTCTCTCTCTGCCGTCTCCTCCTCCTTGCCAGGCCACTCAGCTCTTTCTTGCCTCAGCACTGCCCCTGTGCCGCCCCCATCACCACCCCCATCGCCATCCCATAGACAGGAAAAAAACCTATGGCTTCACCCTCACCCAAAAATGCTGTAATCATCTGGCTCACTCTGATTTTCTCTTCTTCCCTCCTGTTTGTCAACCTGGCCAGGGTGGGAGAAAAGGAGGTGGGGACCTCTGGGAGGGGGCAGTCGCCTCACTGCTGGCGGGCTGGCTCATAGTCCCAGGGTGAGAAAGGTGGGGCCCTGTCCACTGAGACAGGTAAGAGGTCCCTCTCACCTCTGCCGCCCCCGCCGGGTGCCATTTGACCTGACTTGGTTCACCCAAGAGCCCTGCCAAGATCAGTGGCCACACCCCGCCCTGCCTAATCCCTACGTGCATCTCTAGGCCCTGAAGAGGTGGAGACACCTGTTCCCCTAGGGCTGAGAAGCCAGGGCTGGCACCGCCCAAGAGGCCACCTCTGACCCCAGAAATGTACATATAAGTGCCCAGGACTGCACCTTGGGATTGCCAGGGCCTCCCAGAGCCGGTGAGAGAATGAATAGGATGTTCTGGTGCCTGCAGGTGAAGCCCGTGGGCTTCCTCAAGCCCTCATCCTTGACAAAGGCTGTCAGCCGCTTCAAGGCGCACCAGGATGCCCTGCCCCGGCTGCCCGTGCCCTCACTCCAGCAGTCCCTGGACCATTACCTGAAGGCACTGCAGCCCATCGTGAGCGAGGAGGAGTGGACCCACACCAAGCAGCTGGTGGAGGAGTTTCAGGCCTCAGGGGGCGTAGGAGAACGCCTGCAGAAGGGGCTGGAACGCAGGGCCAAGAAGATGGAGAACTGGGTGAGTTAGAACTGGGGGTACACCAATCCCCCAGTTCCCACAGAGGAGGAGGGGGACAGGCGTCCGCCCGGAGGCCGTGGGTCGTTGTGAGCATCCCACAGTGTGGTCCGTCCCTGCCACACACAGGACCTTCCAATGCTGGCTGCTCCGGTGTGTTGTTTGCACAGAGTTCCAGGAGTCCTTCCTCTGGGCTTGGCTCCAGGCAGAGTGCTGGATGAGCGAGAAAGACACAGCTGATGGCTTCGTGGGGCTGATGTTCCAATAGCGCAGGGAGAGGGGAGACAACAGGACACAGTGAGGGGTCGAGGTCACTTCAGGCAGTGAAGTTCCATAGAAATAAGAAAGAGCGATGAGAGAGGGGTGGAGAATGGCAGCATCTTTATGCTGAAGGCTCAGGGAAGGCAGGCAGGAGGTGGCCTTGGATCTGTGACAGACAGAGGGGACAGCCACGGGCCAAGGCGGCAACAGCCTGGTGAGTTCAGGAACAGACAGAGGCGGGAGTGGAGTGCAAGGGTGGAAGGCGGCGTGCAAGGAGAAGGAACCGGGACTTGAGCTCAGCGGGAGGGGGCTGCAGGGTGGCTTCAAGCAGGGAATCTGCGTTCAGTGACAGGTTGCTCCGGTTCTGTGTCTCAGCCTGCCACGCAGATGCGTTCACCTTGTGGCAAGGTATCTACACCAATGCTCCGTGCACTTGTCTGTGTGCGTCTCATACCTCAACGTAAAGTTCAAAATGACCACCCTGGCCGCTGTGGGGGAGGCAAGAGTGGGAGCAAGAGACGGGTGGGAAGGCTGGTACTGTCACCTGAGGGAGACGCTGGCAGGGAGGGGGCGGGGAAGTCATTCAGTCCAGAAGACGTTTTCGGGCCAGTGGTACTTGCTGATGGGGATGCCGGGAGCAGGGACAGTCCTGACCTAAAGCCACTGTGGGGAGGAAGGGAGAGGGGGCTTACGGAGAAGGGGATGACAGAGGGAGAGACAGGTCTGTGAGAGAGAGCCAAAGCCGGGCCTGGCCCCATAGGGCAGGAGGGGCAGCTTGGAGGGGGAGGCCGCACGGAGGAGGCGGGACTCAGCAGTTGGTGGGCAGCTGCGCTGAGCCTGGACGGGTCCAGGCCTTGGACTCCAGAGTCAGGAGCACAAGGATTCTGGGTCTGGCAGTGTTCAGACTTTGTTGAGCCTGCAACTCCATCACACAGGCTATGGGTCAGCAGCCAGCAAGGCACCCACAGGCGTGCTGTGCAGCCTGGGCACACCACATCCCGCACCCCTTGCCAACAGTCCAAGGCCAATGGCCGGTGCCCGCGGTGTCCCAGGGGGACCGACGTGGTGAAAAGGCATGTCCCAGCACCCATTGAGAGGGGATGAGGAAGCACAGCGGGGGCCCGGGTCTCCAGGGATTAAAGGACCTGCCAGAGAGAGGCCTGTTGGGCGTGTGCTTGGAAGCGGTGTAGAGCCGACAATGTTGTAGTCAAACACACAGGCTCAAGGGTGACAGTCACCTCGGAGCCTTCACCATGTCCATGATAGGTCCCCAGAGAGACAATGCTCCCCCGCTGGATCTAGCCCACATCTTGTCACCGATATAATGATTTATCCTCAGCCAGCTCCCCCTAGATCGCCCTGACCTGGAGACCCCAGGGAGTGCCCACTTCCCAGGCTGATACCAACAAAACAGGCCACAGGGGACCAGCATCCCCAGTTCTACGTGGAACCCTGGCTCCTGCTTTCCTGGAGAGGGCTCAGTTGGGATGAGCAAAAACTCATTCAGTGAACTTTCTTTTTCTATATCTTTCTCTACTTTTCCCTACTATCAGGCACACTAAGGGTAGTACAAATCATTGACCGGAATTCGTAAGACAAAGAAACTCGATTCCCATTTCTGCAGTTCCGTCCCACGCCCTAGGCTCCCTGCCAGCCTTCTTTCCCCCACATCTCTGCCATGGTGGCGGCATCTGGTTGCCCTTGCTGAGTGGCTCAGGTTAAGGGAAGATGATGGGGCACTGCGGGTGGGTGTAAGGGGACAGAGGGTCCCCTGGCCCTGTGGGGAAGGGTCACCACATCCCCACCCACCCCTCCTGACAGGCTCTGGTTCTTTCCCCAGCTGTCCGAATGGTGGCTCAAGACGGCCTACCTCCAGTACCGCCAGCCCCTGGTCATCTACTCCAGCCCTGCCCTAGTGCTGCCCAGGCAGGACTTCGTGGATCTGCAGGGACAGCTCCGGTGAGTGGCTGGGGCTGGGCAGGGCCCTGAAGGCCACTTCCTCCTGGAGGCGGACAGGCCCCAACCCTGCTCGTTATGTTTCTTATGAAGTAGGGAGCATCATCCCTATTTTACAGATGGGAAAACTGAGGCTCAGAGCAGCAAGGGGAACTGCCCGAGATCACCTTTCACTGTTGGCCGAGCTGGGGCAGGGAGCAGGGTCTTCCGGGCTCCCGCGCGTCAGAGCTGTCCGCAGACACGCTGTGGACGGGCCCCGCCCTCGGCCTAAGCCTGAGCCAGCCAGCGCCCCCAACGGCAGTCTCGGCACTCCACCCATCCTTCCCTTTCTCCTCTGGCCATAGGGATGACCTTTATACACAGTTCCCTTTTCCACTTTTGTCCATGTCACTTGCCCTGGCTGCTGTTCCAGTCCTACCAGAGATAAAAATACCAGTGACAGAGATCTCCTGCCCAAGCACCAGCCACTCACGGCTACCACCTGCTCCTTTTAAAGGCACCAGGGCACCCTGGGACAGTCTGGGGGTTCAGGCCCAGGAGCTCCAGCTCATGATCCCCATTTTGGGGCCCAGGGGCAGCCCAGGCCTCGGACATGGTCAGTGCAGCCCAGACAGCCTGGGGAGCAAGGCGAGGCGGCAAGAGGGCCTGGGGGAGATGGGCCCAGACACGAGGGCGGGGACCTAGTGCAGGGAACACCCTAAGCCACTGCCCCCCCACATTCACAGCCCGCTCCCCGCGGTCCTGGGTGCCTCCATAACTGGTGACTGAGAGAAGGGCACCCTCTTTCCAGATTCCAGCCCGCGGTTCAGGGGTGCGGGCCCTTGGTGGGTGGCACTGGCCGCACGGACCCGTAATCCGGCCGCAATCATGCCCCCTGCCTTAGCACCGAACTCTGGCCAGGCACTTGGCCGGCAGGTTCTCCCTAACCCCTCCATGTCTTGCCCTGGAGGTTTTGAGAAGGCAGGCTCAGGAGGGCAAGCTGCCAGCAGGGCATGTGAGCAGTGAAGCAATGGCACCCCCTCATCCTGTAGGTGTCTCTGGCCCAGTGCCCTTCCTTGGGGCGTCCACACAGCTTCTGATCTCTCGTTGGTCCCTCCAGGTTTGCTGCCAAATTCATCGAGGGCGTGCTGGATTTCAAGGCCATGGTTGACAAGTGAGCAGTCCAGCCCGCCTCTGCCCTGCCTACCTAGTTAACCCAACCTCTCCGGCCTGGCCCAGCCTGACCCCAAGCCCTGGGTGCTGGGCTGGCCCAGAGCACAGTGCTTTCACTTCCTGTTTGCCTGGCCCCTGTTGGGGTTGGGGAGACAGAGCCTGGGGATTGGGACGCCTACGTTCTCTGCTCCAGCTGTTGGGACTTCCTCCTGGTGACTATCCCGCGAGGCCCCGGGAATTGGCGTCCCAGCCAAAGAGGCCCGCAGAGGTTGACTGCCAGCTCTATCTCCCCCGCACAAACTAAAGCCCAGGGCAGGGAAGGGAGATTCCGGGGTGACTCACGGCAGGCCTCCTGACCCAAGCCCCGCTCTGCCAGGCCCCCTGCTCAGGCTAAGGGGAAGCAGGGACACGAGGGGGTGACAGGCACTGCCTGCGTGAAACCTGACTCGGCCTGGCCCAGCCCCCAGCCATACCCAGCAGCTCCCTCTTCCCTTCTCCCCTGGGACCTGCCCAGTGGCCCCTCACTGTCCCCCTGCCCCACAGTGAGACCCTGCCTGTGGAGTACCTGGGGGGGAAGCCGCTGTGCATGAACCAGTACTATCAGATCCTGTCCTCCTGCCGCGTGCCGGGCCCCAAGCAGGACACGGTCATCAACTTCAGCAAGACCAAGAAGCCGCCCATGCACATCACCGTGGTACACAACTACCAGGTGGGGGCCCGCGCTGCAGCAGGGGAAGGGGATGGCGCCAGGAGTCCGCTGCCCCAGCGCACCGGCCCGTGCACCCCAGGAACCGGCGTGCCCCGGGCGCCACTGTGGGCCGACCCGCTAGACCCCAGCCTCAGGGAGGCCAAGAGGGGCTGTGGGCCTGCCCAGCCTGGGAGAGAAACACAAGGACACCCTCCCCTGCCTCTCCCCGCTGGCCTGACCCTGTCCCCTCAGCTGGGCCCAGGACGGCACTCGCTGTGACCTCTGGGCTGCCGGGGCCAGGAGGAGGCTGGAGTGGGACGTGACTCCGGCTGATCTGAGGTCCTCACCGCCACCTGCCTGCCCCCGCAGTTTTTTGAGCTGGACGTTTACCACAGCGATGGGACGCCGCTCACCTCAGACCAGATCTTCATGCAGCTGGAGAAGATCTGGAACTCGTCGCTGCAAACCAACAAAGAACCTGTGGGCATCCTCACCTCCAACCACCGCAATTCCTGGGCCAAGGCGTACAACACCCTCATCAAAGGTGCCTCCAGAGGGCGGGGCAGGCGAGGCGAGGCCCCCAGCCTGGCCTCTGCCCGCGCTGGTCCCTGGGCTCTCACTGCATCCTCTCAGCTCGTAGCAGGTGTCGTCAGCCCGAGTTCAGGAAACTCAGCTGGGCGAAATCTGTTTCCCTCTGTTAAGTAGCCAGTGGGATGAAAGCCTAAGCCCTCTGGCTGAGGAGCCCACCACAGTCCCCGTGTCAGTCAGTGGCATTGTCCCCGAGTCAGACCCCTGTGTGGGTGGGATCCCTGACTGCCACTGTGGCTGTGAGACCCTGGGCTTCCACATCCTCATTTCTAAACGGGGCCCAGCAAGCCAGGCGTGGGGCGTGCCCTGTGGGGTGTAAGGCCCTAAAGCCTGTCCCAGCCCTTGGCGAATGTTCTGGAGGCCTCCCAGGCCACCCCAGACCTGACACCCCCATTTTGGGCCCCCTCCCCACCATGCCGCCTGCAGACAAGGTGAACCGGGACTCGGTGCGCTCCATCCAGAAGAGCATCTTCACCGTGTGCCTGGACGCAGTCATGCCGCGAGTATCGGAAGACAAGTACCGCAGCCAGGTGGCCGGGCAGATGCTGCACGGGGGCGGCAGCAAGCTCAACAGCGGCAACCGCTGGTTTGACAAGACACTGCAGGTGAGGACCCGCCCCCGCTGCCTCCTCACCCACGCTTGGCCCCCTGCAGCCTCGGGACTTCCTGTCCTTTGCCAGTCACCTCCAGCACCCCAGCTTCTAAAGCAGGTGGAAGCCAGTAGGTGGGAGCGGCTGTAATTACCAGGCAGTCAGCCTGTCATTACTGGGGTCCAGAAACCAGTCACCCCCAACAGCCCTTCAGCACATCAGAGGGAGCCCAGGGCCTGTAAAATAGAGTCCGTGGTAGGACTCCCCACTGGAATAGTTGCAGGGACGCAGCAGGGTATACGAGCATGGGACGTGCTTGGTGTGGCCTGGCATGGGCCCAAGGCCCCCGATGTATGCCAGCTCTTATTAGTAACCGTAAAAAGTCACCTGAGCCCCGAGGTGACTTCAGGCCCTTCCCGAGGGACCCCACCAAAGAGCGGCTCCAGGGAGCTGGGACTGACGCGTCCCCACTCCCCTCCGCAGTTCATCGTGGCAGAGGATGGCTCCTGCGGGCTCATTTATGAGCACGCCGCCGCCGAGGGGCCCCCCATCGTCACCCTTGTGGACCACGTCATTGAGCACACGTGAGTGCGGCACCCCCCGCCCCTGCCCGTTTCCCCAGCTCTTGGAGACAGGCGACAGGCTAGCCTGTGGGGGAAGGGCATTTTCCCTGTGCCCGGGAGTCTGTTTCTTCAAAGGAAGCCTGAAGAGGGGATGGGCTTTAGAGCCAGACAAACCAGGTTTGATCCTGGCCCTGCTGCTTCCCAGCCGCACGACCCTGGTCGAGTCCCGTCCCCTGTCCGGTCCTCCTCCATTTGGTCTTCTGAAAGCTGGAGGTAGTTTCAGAAGAGTAAACACAAGAGTGTCCCTGGGCTGGCCCCCTCCAGCCCCAGGGACCCTTCCTCCTGCCGTCGCCCTGGGGGTGGACCCAGGCTCCCCGGGCACTGGCCTGAGCCCAAGCCCGCCTAACCGTGCAGGAAGAAGGCCGAGCTCGTGCGGTCCCCCATGGTGCCCCTGCCCATGCCCAAGAAGCTGCGGTTCAACATCACCCCGGAAATCAAGAGTGACATCGAGAAGGCCAAGCAGAACCTTAGCATGTGAGTGCCGGGTGCGGGGCAGGGGCCCGGGCCCCTTGAGTCCAGCCGGCTTTTGTTCCAGGTCCGTCCTTGTACCCAGCTGGTTCTGAGACCGCCCTCCCTGGGGGGTTGGCAGGGCCGCCAAGCGCCTGCCCCTCACCCCCTCCTCCCCGCCCCCAGCATGGTCCAGGACCTGGACATGATTGTGGCAGTGTTCCACCACTTCGGGAAGGACTTCCCCAAGTCCGAGAAGCTGAGCCCGGATGCCTTCATCCAGATGGCACTGCAGCTGGCCTACTACAGGTGTGCCCTCCCCCGCCTACCCCTGCGGGGAGCGGGGCCCTGGGGGCAGAGGCGGGGATGGCCCCAGGGCCGGTGCTCAGCCCCGTGTCCCTCCAGGATATACGGGCAGGCCTGTGCCACATACGAAAGCGCCTCCCTGCGCATGTTTCACCTGGGCCGCACTGACACCATCCGTTCAGCCTCCATGGACTCGCTTGCCTTTGTCCAAGCCATGGATGACGCCAACGTGACGGTGAGGGGTGCAGGGTGAGGGTGGGTGAGCTGGGAGTGAGCCGTGTCCCTTCCTGCTCACTCTGTCAGCACACGCTGATTGAGCACCTACTGTATTCCAGCCCTTTGGTGGGCACTGGGAATGTAATAGAAGGTGGAGCCAGGAATTTAGCTCTGAGTTTCCTGGCAGGCCAGGAGAAAGGGGGAATGTTTGTCCATTTTTCACTCAGCAGCAGTGAGCAGCTGCCCTAGAGTGATGGTATTTCCCCTTCCTCCTCACAAATGTAGTACTGAGTAGGGACTGGGCTACTGAGAGGGGTGGCAGGAGCCAGGAAGGGCCAGCGCTTCAGCTCCCTCTTCCTCTCCCCCCACAGGAGCTCCAGAAGGTGGAACTGCTGAGGAAGGCCGTGCAGACCCACCGAGCCTACACCGACCGGGTAAGCGAGGCCTTTCTGTCCCTGCTCGCTTGGCCCTTGGCATCTCCCACTGCCTGTCCACCCTACAGCTAATGGCCGCTCACCCTTAGCTTGAACGAGCCCTCCCCTGAGCCGTGGGGCACCTGGAGCAAGGCTAAACACCCCCATTTTAAAGTTAGAGAGACTGAGGCGGGGCCCAGTGACTGCGCTGGTCCCAGGTCCCAGGTGAGCTGCTGGTCTTGTGTCAGGCCCGCCCCACCCTGCGCCGTAGAGCCCCGGGTGCAGAGGGCACACACAGCGGGCAGACAACAGCGCTCCTGCCACCTGGCAGCTGAGGCTGCTGCCAGCGGCTCAGGGGTCTGGGCCCCCCTTCCTGGCTCCGCATCCGAGCTCCTGTGGACCACGCTCTGCCCGCATTGCACACAGGCACTGTTTAGATCCCCGACCAGGCGAGTCCAGCGACCGTCCCCATTTTACAGATAAAGACACTGAGGTTCCAAGATGTAAATGACCTGCCAGGGGTCCACAGCCAGGATGGGACTAGGCCTCCCAGCTCCAGACCTGCGCTCTTAAATCCTCCACTGCTGCCTCCCTGGGCAGGCCCCGGGTCTCAGTTTCCCCATCTGTGAAGTGGGGGCTCTCCTGCCTGGCTGCTCTAGTCTCATCGGCCCGAGAGGCCCGTGAGGGAAAGATGTGTTGCCTCCACACGGCCCTGAGGAAGGGGGCGGCGGCGGCATGCTGTGGTCTAGCAGCCTCTGCTCCTGACCGCACCTCCTCCCATAGGCCATCCGCGGGGAGGCCTTCGACCGGCACCTGCTCGGCCTGAAGCAGCAGGCCATCGAGGACCTGGTGAGCATGCCCGATCTCTTCATGGACACCTCCTACGCCATCGCCATGCACTTCAACCTCTCCACCAGCCAGGTGGGCCCCTGCCCTCTGGGCCCCTACCCAGGTGCCCCAGGGAAGGACGGAGCAGAACCCCCGGAGCAGGAGCGGGACAAAGGCTGCGCTGACTAGAGCCAAGGTCTAGACACAGTCAGACCTCGGTGGGGCTGTGGCCCACACAGGCCACCGCCAAAGCAGCCGAGTTCTGGCAAAGGGGGTCGGCGGGGGGCTTCACTACAGCGCAGGCAGGTGAGGGCATCAGGGCCCCCCAGGGGAGAATCAGCTTCATTTATGCCCGCTCAGACACAAAGGGACCCCTGGTCCGTGCCGGGCTGTGCTGGGTACTGGGACACAGCAGGGACAGCAGCGTCCCTGCCCCAGGGGCTCACAGTATAGGCCGAAGCACAGGGACTGAGCTAGTGATGGTCCCTGGGAAGTGCTGGGCGGGGGAGGGGTCAGCAGAGTCTCGAGGAAGGAACAGCTAAAGCCCCCAGGAATGTCAACGAGGCTCCATGGAAGGGTGACACCAGAACTGTACCCCAAAGGACCGGAGGGAGTCACCTGTCTGATGGAGAAGAGGAAAGGGCATTTCAGGCAGAGCGCAGCAGGAGCAGAGATGTGGGGAGGCAGGCTGGTGCCCCGAGGGCTGGAGGGGACCCGGTGGGGTAGGGGCGGGAGCCTTAGTCCTATGCCACCCCCAGGTCCCTGCCAAGACAGACTGCGTCATGTCCTTTGGGCCCGTGGTCCCAGACGGCTACGGCATCTGCTATAACCCCATGGAGGCCCACATCAACTTCTCCGTATCAGCCTACAACAGCTGCGCCGAAACCAACGCCGCCCGCCTGGCGCACTACCTGGAGAAGGCGCTCCTGGACATGCGCACCCTGCTGCAGAGCCACCCCCGGGCCAAGCTCTGAGCCCCCAGCTCGGGCCAGCCAGTGCCACCGCCGCACCGCCTTCGGGTGGGTCGCCCGCCAGGGCTCCACACTTTGTCCCTTGTCCCCCTGGGCCCTGCAGATCTGACTGAGCCAGGGCCAGCACCACGCTCTCAGTGGGGCCAGCAGGCCCGAGCCAAGTGCCTTCCGTGGGTTGCCCCCAGCATCTGCTGGGACCGTGTCCTGGGCTCTGTTCAGAGGCTGAGCAGGACGTAGGCCCGGGCGCCCCACGTATCCCCCACAGAGGGCTTCCTCTAGGGAAAGGAACCAGCTGAGTCCCTCCACGTCAGGGTGGGAGATGGGGACATCCTTTTCTCAGTGGTTCACCTCCGGCCAGTCCCCGCCGGCTACGCAGCCTGGCCAGATCTGTACCCCGGCCCTCAAACTCCCACAAACCTCAAGACAGGACTGTCTGGAGCACAGGGACTGTGGGCCACCCCAAGGCTGAGAGGCTGGGGCACGAGGTATACTGGGGAGAGGAAGCCCAGGACTGCCTGTCAGCCACCCGGCGCCACGAGGCCATCTCCCAAGGCACTGCTGTACTCTTTGAAGAATGCGGCTCAAGGGCCCCACTTCACTCGCTTCCACTTGGTTGGCTTCCTGAACCATGTTCCTGATTGTATCATAGTGACATGCGAGGTAATTAATAAAAGGAAAATTTGTTGGTAGAGATGTTCCAGCCGACGAAGCAGGCAGGTGGGGGAGGACAACTGGCCTCCTCCCAGCTTTCCCTGTGTCTGGGAGTTGGTGTCACAGCGGCCAATGGCCCCAGTGGCCAGAGGAGACGAGGAAGAGCCCTCAGGCTTAGGCCAGGGAGCTGTGGGCCAGTCCAGGACAGCTCCCACCTACCCGTGACTTGGGCCTCTTCAGTACCTTGGGCTGCGGATGGGGACGTCTCTCCCAGGGAGCTGTGGGGCCCTGCAGGCCGGGTCTAGTGGGCCGTGTGGCTGACACCCAGGGCCCAAGGCCTCATCCCGCAACCTCCCCACTGAGCCCAACAGCAGTGGCACCCCAGGTTACATAGCCCCCTAATCGGAACCCTAAACCTACCTACCTGTTCCAAACCCCAGGCACCTGGCAGAAATGGTGTCTTGCCAGTCAGGTGAGCTGTATGTGGGGAGAGGAGCCTCTCTCCGAGGGACACTCTGACCCTATGACACCTGAAAACCCAGAGCAGAGAGTGGGGCTGTGGGTGTGAGACCTCATGGAGCCTGTGAGAGGTGACAGTCACGTAAGGATGGGGCCTGTGGGTTTTCTCCTTTTTTCAGATGAGGAAGTGAGGCTCGGAGAAGTTAAGGTCACCAGGCCCCTGAAGAGCAGAGCAGAAATTCCCCGAGGCCATACTTGCCATACTTCAGGCCAGGGTGCGGCAGCCCCTGCAGCCAAGGCACCAGCCCCACGTCACACCCGCCACACCCACCGCGACGCCCCAGGGCAGGGGCGGAGGAAGGGAGGCCTTGGGTGGAGCCAGATTAGGTAGAACTCACCCCTGTTGGTACTGGGGCCTGCTGGGGCCTGCCGGGCCCTGCCGCCTCTCTCCAGAGCCACAAAAGACGGGGGCGGGGCGGGGAACTAAGCGTCCTCGTTCTCCAGTGAAGGAAAGAGAGGATATGCCAGTTGCCCAGAGTCTCGGGGCAAGAAGTGGAGCCCGGACAATGGGGCAAGTGGGCGCTGCCCTGGGCCGGGCGCTCCTCAGGCCCACAGCAAGGCGGGGTGGGGGCCCTGTAATGCCAGAGGCGGGAGGGCGGCCGGTACATGAATGCTGCTTCCTGGGCCACGTGCAAGAGGGCCAGGACAGGCATGCAACACACAGCCTGGTGTCCTCTTCTGTACCGCGGGGGTGATCTGCTCCCTGTGGGAGCCACCAGGAGCCCCAGGAAGCGGGGGCCCCCGGCAGCTGAGCGCTGCCTGAGCAACACTGAGGAGAGGCCACGGGGACGGGAGAGCGAGCAGGCCACGGACACAGCAGTGTCACCCAGGACTCCCAAAACTCGAGTCCTAAAGACCACACAGGCCTGAACATAAGGCAGGGTTCCCCCTCCCCAAAACTCTCCTTTAGGGCCATGAAGTACATCGCGGGAGGTACGTTGAGCTGCTCAAACACCCCCCTGTCAGATGGAGTGCTTAGAGGTCCTGGGGGCGCTGGTGGGGAGGGGGAAAGCAAAGGAGCAGAGCAACTTGGTGATTATTCCTGAGGGTATGGCCTGTGTGCTCACCCTTGGAAGTGGGACAAGCAGGTGCTTTAAAAGTCTTTGGACACACAGGAGGTAAGTGTTGGGGAGACGACGCACATACAGGATCTTTAAATCCACTGTCCGAATGGTATGCCAACAGGCACTTGTGGCTCGAGATATAATTTCCAGTGACAGCATCATGCGTGAAATCCAGAAAATGATGCTGAACCCAGAATTCAGGGAGCTGACCCAGAGGTGGCCCTGGGGCAACCAGACCCTGAGGGCAATGATGCACTTGATTTAAAAAAAAAAATAAGGAACTGCTCTAAATTAATACACTTTGTGCAACGTGTTATTTGAAATGTGAGGTGTAGTGAGTGAAGGAATCGACGATTACTCGGCTGTTACCCAGATCCCCTAAATGACCGTCCAGGTGGGCATGGACTTGGCTTTGGCTCTCTTCACGGGGAAAGTGCAGCGGCCGGCAGGGAGCCAGGCCTGCAGGGGAGCCTGCTGAGGGGGCGAGGGCCAGACGGAGGGGGCCGCACCAAGGCCACGTCCACAGCGCGGCCGACCAGAGCCCCCGAGGAGGGTGTCCGAGGGACTGAAGGAGGCCGACAGTACAGGGGCCCTGCTGCCTCCCGGCGGGGACTGGGGGCTGGGGCCCAGAGGGCCGGGGAGGCAGAGAAAAGTAGATGTTTAAAGGCACTTAGGAGGCAGAGTCAGGAAGACTGTGAGCAACAGGAAAAGAAGTTGATGGCGGTGGTAGGTGGGGGCAGGTATGTTGTTTGGGGTGAAAGCCAAGTCTAGCTGGGACTTGGGACACCCAGGGCTCAGCCCTTCTCTCTCCACGTGCACTCAGGGGTTCTGCCCTGACGTCTGGTTTTTTCCTCTTCAACCGTGTCTTGCCCATGAAACATACCTGTTGAGCTCATTTTTCAGCTATTGGATCTTTCTGTTTTGATTCATTTAAAAATCTTCCACAGTTCAACTTAGTCCCCATGACCTGCACACTTTCAAGGTTGTGTTCTACTTCCTTAAAATATAAAATTTACAGTTTGTGCCCAATCATTCTTGCATCCAAGGGTTTTGCAGGTTTGTTTCCACGACCCGCTTCCTGCTGGTTCTGTCGCAGTCACTTCCTTCTGGCTTTGTCTACGTTCTCTTCACTGGAATTTGAGAACTACTCATACAAATGGCAAGTCTAGGATGTAGGCTCCTTCCTCCCGATATTTATTTGCTTCTGCCTCACATCTCGAGTGAGCTCGCCTGTACTGAATGTCAAGGTTCTATGGGCCACTTAGGAGCACTGACCCACAGCCTTTGAGCTCTTGCGAGGACAGGATTATCTCTGACCCCTTCACCCTAGGGTGTAGCCAGTCTGCATCTCAGCTCAGTGAATCAGAGGATTAGACTCCTCACTGTGGCCAGGTCCGACCTATGTCCACCTCACTCTTCCAAGGCCTCCAAAGCCCTGGCTGTTTGCAGTTATTTCTTCCAAAGCGACATCAACCACACACACGCTCAAGCGATACTGAACTACACAAGGGGCGGAGGTCCTGGCAGCGGCTTAGGAAGAGCGCACCGGGGGCCCCTGCTCCTCCAGGGCTGTCAACGGAGCGGGGGCCAGGCTTACTGCGAGCAAGTCTGGAGCCAGCCAGGGCCACACAGCGGGGTGGACTGGGACCGGGAAAGAGGACACTTCCTAACTATGTGGCAGTGAGGTCTCCTCTGACTCTGGTGGGAAACGTCGCTGGGCCAAACTGTGGCTTTGTGGGCAGGGAGGAACCAGATGTCTCAGAGATGCTTAGGAGTCTATGGTGTTCACCATATCCTTGCTCCTCAGAGTCACGTGTCTCCAGCCGCCTCACAGGAGCTCAAGTCAACATGTTCTCAAGCTGCCAGAGTTCAAGATTTTATTTTAAAACAATAGTAAACAATTTCATTGATTTTTCTTAAACCACCTCACACTTGGCTTGTCTCAGGCAAAACGTACAAAATAAGAAGGAAAGAGGAGGGGAGGAAATGTGGGGACTGACCAACCTTCCCCAGAAACAGGCCCCTGGTCCTGGCACCTGGAATGGCTTTTGGACAGACACTGTCTTCAACAAATGAAAAAAAGAAAGCACCCAAACATTGTGCTTCAGCAGCGGGTTAGGAACCTCCACAAAGAAAAGGAGGGGTAGGGTTTGATCACAGGTCCCATGCAAGCCTGGGTCAGTTCTAGAAACTTCCAAGAGTCTGGAAGCAGGTCCCCTCCACAACCCCATCTCAGAGAGACTTAAGAGATTGAGTCCCTTTAGGAGGGACCCTGCTCTGAGCTGGACAGTGGGGATCTGTGAACCATGCCCCATACACAGGCTGCAGGGTGGCCCCAGGCCAGCTTCCAGCCCCTCAGAGGGGGCCGGGAAGGATAAGGAATGTTCAGAGCGAAGAGGGAAGGGAGGGGAAGGGCGGGGACGTCAGGCACCCGCGCAGCCCCTTCCCCTCAGCCGGCTCCTGGTTCCTTTGCATTTTGTTCTTGTGGAGATGAAAACTAACTGCTCCCAGATGGCAGGACCAAAAAGAGCTGTAAACAGCTTGGGTTTGCTCACCCACATGTGCAGGCTCTTTTGTCAGAAAGGGACCACTGTCTGGGAGACAGGGGACCAGAGAAAGCCCTTGTGGTGCAGGGTCGATACGGGGTAGGACACACGACAGCAGCCGCCAGATGCGTGCTCTCCCTGGGCCCGGCCCCCAGACAAGGGAACACTGAACGAGGCTCTGGAACGGCAGTGGCGGCAGGGCCGGTACAGGGCGCTTCCCGCCTCTGGGAGCCCCAGGCCGCCTTTCAGGCCCAGGAGGAGGCAAAGGGCCTGGGCCCCTCAGCACTTGGGGCAGCCACAGCAGAGCAGGCTCTTCCGGCCCCATCTCCAAAATCCTGCCTGCCGTTAATAAAACCAAAAAATAAATAGTGTGTGTTTTTCACGCCACCTGGATTTCCTGGTCCCGCGAGCACAGGTGCAAGCCTTTCTCCTCTGCCCCACACCCAGCGCCCACACCAAGGGCACGTTCCGCCCGGCCGGGGGCCGGTAGCAGCACAGCGAGGGTCTCTGGCCGTGTGGCCCCTGGCAGCAGGCCTCCAGGGTCCTGGCTGAGGGGCTGACTCAGCCCTTTGGGCCACCTTGTTCATTCAAATTAAAATAAGAAAAAAAAAAAGGCTCCACTCGGTGACTTGGGTCTGTAGAGGTCTCTGCTTCGTCCCTCTGTCGTTCCACCCATCCTGCATGGCGTCGCGCAGGCCAGACCTGGAGGCTGGACCCACCTCTCTCACTGGTCACTGCAGTTTCGTCCCCAGCTTGCGTTGTCTGTTCCTACAAAATGGGGGCGGGGGTCTGAAGTGAGGGTGCCCGGGGGTCAGGTGAGGGGATGCCTGGCGTTCAGCGACCCCCTTAGCTGGCCTCTCCCTACCCCCCGTCCTAGCAAAACAAGTGGAGGCCCACCCCCAGGCACCCCAGTGACCGACTCGGGCCAGGCCAATCAGAGCTCCTGCCCTAGACCTTCGCCCTGAAGACGGTCACTCTCTCTAGCTCGCCTGCATCATCGAGGCCTCGGCTCTGGAGTCCAGGGACAGAGCCAGGAGATGAGGGCCCGGGCCGGACTCCAGCGATTTACGGGGAGCCCCACTTCACAGATAAGCCAGCACAAGCAGGGCTGTCACAGCTGACCGAACAGCCTGTAAGGCGAGCTCTCTGTTGCGAGGCATGTGAGCGACGGCAGAACCGCTGACGGAGGCCACAGAGCGGACGGGAGCGCCTGGTCTGGGGGTGCGGCTATACCCATCATGGGGCCAGGGAACAGGGAAGCAGGGGTAATTCCCCCATTTTCCAGAGGGCCTGGCTGAGGCTTAGAAAGAGGACTGGGGCAGTCTAGAATCCCAGTTCAATTTCAGAAACCTAACTGCACCCACTGGTCCCAAGGGATGTCGCCCAGCTTCGCCTCACGCCCTGCCCCGCCCCGCCCCCTTGATCCCTGGGCTCCAGCCTCCGCCTCTCCTCCCTCGGGTGGACTCGCCACACGTCCTCCTGCCTTGGAAGCTTTGCGCACGCCATTCCCTCTTCTGGGAGCGCTCCCTCCCAAGCCCCACCTTTGCAGCCTCCGCTACCTCCACATTCAGGTCTGTCCCCCCACCCCTACCCCCCAGGGCAGCAGGCCCACCTACCCTGCCTCCACACCTGGTCCCTGCCTCGAGCTCTCAGGCCCAGGGCCCGCATCACATGGGGAGGTGCCTTATTCCCTGACCCTGGGGCTGCCTCACTCTCTGCCTGTCCGCAGCACACAGCCTGGCCCAGGGCCTGTGCACTTTGAAATTTTGGTAAATGAAGGCAGGCATGGCCAGCAGGGTCGGGTGGGGCAGGGCGGGGCCAGGCAGGGCAGGACCACTCCAGAGCCTGAGCCAGCTGGGGCCTCTCACCCAGTAAAGAGATTGCTTGCCCTAACCACCCCAAATCCCCTTTCCTCCTGGATCCGGGGCTTTACCCTTAAGCTCCTTAGGATAATTTGGACCATGATGCACTAGACACATTCCCAGGCTGCTGTGATGCCCTGCCCTGCCCTGCCCTGCCCCATGATCCCTCTCACCAGCTCCCTGGGGAAACCTCGCAGGCCCACTCTGGAGCCTGGCCTCCCTTGGCTCCCTTCTGCGCCCTGGGAGGAGCCAGGCCTTCCCCACCTGGCTGACACTCCACCCAGGACTTGCGGTGAGTGGGAAAGCTCAGTCAGTATGCCCCAAAGCCTGGCTTTGCATCAACTTGCTGTGCAACGTTTGACCCATTTACAGGGAAAGTGTCTGGACTAAACAGTCTAGGGGTCATCCACACAAACGCATCCTGAGAATCCCGGTGGCCCAGCTCCCTGGTCCCAGGCTACAGGGGTTACAAGCAGGCTCTGGGCCAGACGGCCTGCTCCCCCACCCACGATCCCTCAGTCATCTGTGAAGTAACTCCTGGTCTCATCTCTGAGCCTCGGCTTTCTCATCTGCAAAATGGAATCCAGGAGAGGATTCAGTGAGGCGGTGCAAGAAAAGTGCTTAGGCAGGTGCCTGGCTCTTGGGGAGCCCTCCTAAACTGGGGGCAGGGGCTTCCCTGGGGCCATGCCACACCGAACCGGAACCCAGTGACTACTGAACCTTTAACTCACCTGGCTTCGGCCCGGGTTACTGTGTACTCAAACCAGAGCACGTTGGGGATGAGGCTTGTGTCTCGGATTAGGAAGAACTCAGAGATAGGCCTGGAGAGACAGACACCCAGACACCCAGGGCCACATCAGAAATGTCAACAAGCCAGAGTTCCCAATCCGTGCCTGAGGCCAGCCATGCACCTTCCCTTGACTGTTCAGAGAGTCTTTGCCTGGCCAGTGGCCCCAGAGCCACTGAGAGACCCAGATGTGTCACCTGTATGACACTGAGGCAGGGGCAGTCCCTCAGGCACACACAGCTCAGCAGGACTCAGGCTGCTTTCTAAGCCCCTGAGGGCCTAGGCGAGGACAGAGGGTGCCATCTTGGCTTCTGGGCCTGAGGAAACCCCGGGGCAGCAGGCGAGTGGGGCCTGCAGCCTTATGTCCACCAGAGGCCTGGACACGAGGGCTCTCCCAGGGAGACCGAGGCTGGGGTAGGAGCTCCTGGGTCCTCCCGCTGATGGCCCCTTCCACAAGAGGGGGCAGGGACCAAGATGCCTGGGAAGGCGGGAGGGGCAGCAACAGGGGCCGAAAGCAGTTACCAGGATGCTATCCTGGGGAACAGAGGGGTGAGAACCTCCTGGGTGAAGGCAAACCAAGCGATGGCCATGAGGCTTCCAGCGACGCCCCCATAGAGCACCTGGCTCCAGGTGTGGTATAGCAGGTAGACCCTGGGCCAAGGACAGAGAGAAGTTCATGAACAGGCCTGCACGATGCCCCAGGCCCAAGTCCTAGGTTCCCGGGGACTGTGTGCACACAACCCAGGAGGCACACACAGACAGGTATGAACCTCTGTGAACACAGAGCCTCAGGCCGACTTCCGGGAGGAGGCAGGGGGTTGGGCCTTGACAGCTGCTCTCTCAGCTCAAAGTGAGGGGACAGCTCAGCTAAGACTCAACTCCCTTCTCTCTAGCCCTTGAACTCCGAGTTTGTCTGCCAAGGGCTACCCCAGGACGCTGGGAACAGATGGCTGATCTATGGAGGTGGCCTGAACCCTAGGCTCAGCCGGGAGGAGAGAGCAAGGACTAGCTACAAGGGGTAGTGGAGCCCTGCCCCCATAAAACAAGAGGCTGGGACCCCTTTCCCCGCCCTGCCCTATGGGCTCTGGGACCAGGTCTACAGGGAGGTCCAATAGGGACCAAGACCCAGGGGCAGGGTGCGGGGTGGGGGCTCTCCCTCCCTCCTTACCTGCTGTAGGAAACTAGAAGGGCTGCGGTGAGGAGACCCAGGGAGAGCACGTGCCTCCACAGCAAGTCCAGGAACCTGGCGTTGTTCGTTTGATGCATTCTGGGAAGACAGGCCTGTCAGAGGGCCTCAGCCCACAGCCTGGAGCCCAGGCCTCCCAAACCGCACCCCGCCCCATCCACAGGCTCCCTGGGCGCCTGCTGTCCTTGCTGCAGCTCCTCCCACCCCCAGAAGAGGCCAAGCCCCGGGGGGTGTCCAAAGGAACCTGGTCTGGGCCAGGTCAGGGCCAGTCCAGCCAGGGAGAAGCTCACCTTAAATACAGGAAAAGAAAGGAATAGACAGAGAAAAACCACATAAACTGGGAATGACTGGAGGGCATCCCGTACTTGGTGCCCACTGCCGTGTGGGGGCCTGAGGGAGAGAGAACAGGGCATGGAGGGAGGATGTAGGCCTCCCCGTCAGGGCCCGGCCCCGGGGACCACCAGAGCCGCACAGCCTGAGCCCTACCTCCACACGGCCGCGGCTCCTGGATGACGTGTTTGATGAGCCAGTTGACCCCCTCGTTCAATGCCAGGCCCCCGAGGAACGAGATCTGCCGGGAGGATGTGTGGTCAGCTGGGCCTCTGTGCCCCCTGGCCACTGCCCAGCCCCACAGGCCGTGGGGCTGAACTTCCCAGGCCAACTCGTGAACAACCTGGGACCAGCCGGGAGGCTCCAAACACCTCAAGAAAGGTGGAGGCATGGGAGGGGCGGGGGAGCCCCCGGGATGACATGGCGGGAATCCCCCTTCCCGGGGAGAGGGCAGCGGGGGGCACCGACTCACTCACCGTGTGCAGCTCCCGCTTGAATATGATGAGCGTCACAAAACCGACAATGACAAATATGGGGCTGAGGCTCAGGTAGGCAAGGAGGTGGCCAGAGAGATCACCTGGGTGCGACAGGGAGACTGGGATGAGGACAGAGCGTGAGCATCAGAAGAGGGGCCAGCCCTACCTACGAGTTAAGCAGGACCTGAGCCAGAAAGGAGGCCCCAGCGGGGAGGGGCCCAGCACGCAGGGCAGGCAGCTGTGGCCGCCTGTCACAACGAGCAGGGGCTGGACCACAATGCAAGTCTCTGGCCTAGCCCAGATACTACACCCACCACCCTGCCAAGTCAGGAATTTGAACTCCTGACCCCAAGGCTAGCCCTGGGCCAGGGGCAGCCCGGGAGGCACACCGGTGCCTCTGGAACACAGCGCTGGGCTGAGACTGCCCCAGCCGAGCCCTGGGTCTCCAGGGGGACCTGGAACTCTCTGGTCACACACAGAGTTGAGCCTGTGCTGCAGACTCCCACAAGGACCAAGGCCAGGGGTGGGGAGGCGACTGTATTGCCCAATATGGACGCCTGTTGCAGTAACAGCTTCTCATTCCCTCTCTAATGGTCGAGAAACTGGCTACCTACTGACTGCCTGCTTTTTTACCATCCTAACAGGCCAGGGAGGGAGATAGTGTGAGGACTGCCAGCCCCTTTTCAGAGATGACACCGCAGCCAAGAGATGAGAGCCACTTTCCCTGCAGCTCAAGGGCAGAGCTTATGTCAAGTCCAAGACCACTGTTACCATTGAGGGCAGGGCGGCCACGTGGCCACCCTGAGGTCAGTGGGCATGGCTCACTTCCCGGGCCAGCACTTGCTGGCTGCTTGACCTCAGGCAAAGACTCCACCTCCCTGAGTTTCCACTCTCTCATCTGTGAAAAGGGGAAACTAGCACCCACCTCCTATGCCTGTGTGAGACCCAGCAGCTAGGTGAACTCAGCGTGGGAAATGGCCAACAGCCCCAGCCTGGTCTCACACAGGCTGCAGAGAAGGTGCCCACACGGGGCTGAGCCCAGATTCAGGCTGAAGAGATGGGCACACACCTGGCCTCACCCCAACCACCCAGGGTAGGGCTGGCTTGGAGTTGGCCTGGGACAAGAAGCCATCAGGCTCAGTTCAAGAGCTAGTGCTGCCACAGGCCAGCCGCGCGACGCTGGGTGAGGCCTTTCCCTTCTCTGGGCCGTGGCCTAAGACTGAACTTCCCACGGCTCCTCACCCACGCGACAGCCTGGCCTCTTACAGCCCTGAGATTCTGGGTCTTTCAGCTGCCCGGCTGATGCCCAGAGCACCTGACCACGAGGACAGGGAAGAGCTGGTACCCCGAACCTCTGGCCACCTCCATGGCCTGTTGCACACATGGCGCTAACCTGGGACCTCCCTGCAGATGCTGCTGCCTGTGACTCTGGCCTCGCCACTCGGCTCCAAGTCCCTCAGCGGCTCCCTCTGCCAGCTCACTGAACAGGCCCAGCCCTGCTCCCTTCCCACCCTGTGCTCCAGTTAGTTCCAGGGAGCGCACTCTAGTTCCCTGAACATACCGCGCTCTGCCCTACTTCTGGACCCGACCCACACTGTTGCTCCCACCTGGGATGCTGCCTGGGTTAATACAACATAAAGTAAGTGCCCACTACAGTGGCAAAAAAGACACGTTCCTGCCATCGCAGAGCTCTCAGCACGGCAGGGGAATATGCAACCAGGCATCATTGACGATACGCTATTGTTAGCGTGGACGTTGGGCTGTGTCTGTCTCTTCCTCTACACATCCCGTAACAGCAGGGATGGGGGTCTCCTTACACAGCAGTCAATCCCCCAAGCCCAGGACAGCGCCTGGCGCTTAACTGGGCTCCAAAATAATGGTCAGTGAGTGGAGAATGAAAAAGGGCCAAGGGGTACAAAGACACGTAGAAGGCCATAGAAGAGTCAGCAGGGCGCTAGGCATCAGGGATATCCCCAGGCTCAGCCAGGTCCCTCCTCCAGACCCACCATCCCTACAAAAGGGTCCCTCATCACAGCCTGCATCGTACTGCTCACAACCTCCAGGTTCCTGATCCTTGTTAGACTGTGAGCACTCAGAGAAACTACTCTGAGGCCAGGCAAGTGGAGCCATGAGGTGCTGAGGCCTCAGCCAAGTCCTTTCCCTCTCCAGGCTTTGGCTTCCCTCCAGTAAAGTGGGAATGTTTTCCATAGTCCAGGATTTCAGGGACTTATTGGTCTGTTTGACATTCTAAACCCAGAGCTAGCCCAGGGACTAGCACGCAGGAGGTGCTCAACGGATGCTGCCTGAATGAATGGACAGGTGGATGGATGGATGGTGGGCAGACAGGCTGCAGGGCCCAGCACCTGGCAGTGCCACCCCACCCCCAGAATGACCGAGAACACCCAGGGTCAAAGTTCTCTGGCAGCCAGCCTGGGGCCCTCAGCAGGGCCAGGTTCTCCCATCTCCGCCCAAAAGAGCAACATATGATGAGCAGGCCCTTCCCAGGACAACAAGGGTTCCATGAGGGGCTCACTTGATACCCAACAATCCTACCCAGGGAGGGCAGGGTAGGCTTGAGAGGGTCCTGAGAAGGTGGGATATTAACTGCAGTTATTTTTTTAATGCTTCCTGTGCACCAGGCACTGCTCTCAGCATTTCTCACGCCCCCTGTTATTTGATTCTCACACCACTACTACAAGGGAGGCACTGAGATTAGTTTCACTTGAGAGATGAAGTGACTGGGGCACCTACAGGTGAAGTCACCTGTACAAGGCCTAGGCCTGAACTTAAACCCAACCACCGCGGACCCCAAGGCCCACGCTCCGCCACACTCTTAATAGAAGAAAGGTAGCTGAAGAACCTCCCAGTTGGAAAACCCTGAGCTTCTAGAGATATGTCTGATGGGAAGCTCCCGAAGTCAAGATCCTGGGGGCTCCCTGCCCGTCACCAGGTCCTCTCCGTTGTGGACAGTTCCCTGCTCAGGGCGTGGCACACCAGAAGCACTCAAACAACGAATAGAGCTGCCTGGCCTCGGTCTGCACACTTCCAGCAACGAGGAACTCGTTCTCTTATAGGCAACCCAAATAATGCACTGTTTGAAGGAAACAGGCACTCCCTTGCACGCCGGGGAGAGTCTGGCCTCTCTGGCTACGGGGGAGGCGGGGAAGGAGGGCCCAGGTCCAGGCCGGTAATCCTTTCCCGATTCACACAAACCCCCTCCCCATTACAGCCCACCCGTGCCCCAGGACCAGGGGGAGCAGCCCGGTCGCGCAACCGCAGAGTGCGCGAGCGAGTCTCCCAATTTCGCCCAGCTCATCGCCGCACCACCGCGCCTGCGCGGCGCGCGCGCCGGCCGAGCCCCTCCATGGCTCACTATTTGACAGTTCCTACCCCGATGCCCCAGCACCACCTCCGCAGGCTCGCGGGAGCCGGAGCACCCGCGGCTGAAAGGTCGGCCCCGGGAAGGCGTCCTTGGTGCCCGGGCCGCCTCTTACCTGCAGGATATTCGACGTGGGTAAGGCTGACCGGCCGCCATGAAGCGGGGAGCGAGCACTGTCCGTCCGCTGCCATCTTACCCGGAGACCGGGCTTCGCCCAGCAGCCAATAGGGTGCCAGGGGGGCGGTGGTCCTGACCTATCACGCTGGGGAGGCGTCGTGCATCCAATCGGAAGCCTATACAGGTAGCGGCGCAGCCATTTAGCGTGCAGGCCGTAGGGCTGGCCGCAGTGGCCAATCAGAGAGCGAGGTCCCTTGGAGCTGGCGAGCCAGACAAGCCAGCGTCCAATCCAGGGCGAGCGCAGGTAGGTTTCTGGTCAATCAGGGAAGAGGAGGGTTTCAGCCCAGAATAGAGGGCAGAACAGCCAATCAGAATGTGAAGCTGGCGCGCAGCGTAGGCAGGACGGGCCAATCAGGCCGTAGCTTGGGGGGCGTGTTGAACTTTGGTGGGAGCTTTGGTTTGGCTGGGACCTGCGCGGAGTGCAGGCTTCTCCGGTACTCCGAGCCCGCCCTGAGTCGGAGGGAACTGGGCACATACTCGAAGCGGGGAAGCCACCTCGGCACGATGAGGTCTGGGTCCACACACTTTTAATTATGAGTAAACAGAAGTCAAAGACCCAGAGGACACTTATTTTTTCTTACGTGATGCGAAGAGTGGAAGCATAATTGAAATTAAGAAAGACGCCTTCCTTCTTTTATTCAATTAACAAAGACTTATTGATTCAGTCTCATTCATACTGTTTAATGAGGCATCTTGGGAACATTTTAGACAAGAAGCCGGTTTTCCATCTACCTCAGTTTTCCCGAAGCATTCCACTCAGTAGCCAACAAGGCCCTGCATCAAGAGCCACAACTTCCCGCCCATCTGCCCCTCCCGTCCCCCCACTCTCTCAGGCTGGGCTGAATCACGCATAGTCCAGATGAAGTGCTGACCCCCCCCCCTCCCCTTTCCTCCTAGTCTTTGCACATGCCATTCCACTGCCTGGAACGCATCCCCGCTCCCGCCCCTACTTTGCCTTTGAGCAAAGTCTGCCTCAAGTGTCAGTTCTCATTTAGAGGTTTCTGCAGCCCGTTAAGGGGCCTCCACTGGGCCCCTCTCCTACCTCAGCATTGAGCACACTGGACGGTGATCGGCTTCTTGTCTGTCTCTCTCGGTACACAATGGTTCTCCGACTTCGTGAGCACTAAGATCAGCGTGAAGGAAATGCAGATTCCCAGGTCCCTCTAGGGTCTGGGTTGGAGCCTTGGAGTCTGCATTCTTACGCACTCTGGGGTTCCGATGGAAATGGTTCCAGCCATGCCTGGAGAAGCCGAGGGCACCATGAAGACAGGACCTGTTATGCATTTGAGCCTGGCCCAGGCCAGACTTAAAACAAGAACCTGATAAATGCTTATGAGGAGAAGGGAGAATAAGCCCAGGAATCCCACTGACCAGAATGGGTAGCTCTGAGAGGCTACAGGACAGCTGGAGCCAGGACCGAGGGCTCGGCTGAGAGGGCTGGGGGATCCATGCTGACTCAGAGCCCACCAGGGAGCCAGGAGGGCCCCCGGGTCCCCCTCAGCTGTGCTCAGCTCCCCACCCCGCCCAGCCTGGGCTCCTCTGGGTCAGCCGGCCCCATTTCCCTGTCACCTGCCGTCAGCCACCTCAGGCACTGCCATTACTAGCTTCTGAGAAGCAGGAGGTATGAGAAGAGTAGGCTGTGAGTCTCCCAGCATAGTCCCCTGGGACAGGGCAGCCGTCCTGGTCTGGCTGCATTACCGCTCCCTGGGTAATGGCCATTTCACCGATGAGCAAACAGACCTAGAGAGGCAAAGCCCCTGGAACCCAGGCCTGATTCCGGAGTCACCTTGCCTCGGGAAGCTTTCCAAGGGGTGAAGATGGAGAACTATAGGAAGAGAGGGAGTTCTCCAGCGCGGGGTTTTCCTGGCAGAGGGCACAGCATGAGCAAGTGTCCTGAGGCAGGAGTGTGACTGGATGAAGTGGGAGAGAGTGAGGGGTGAGGGGTTGGGGGAGTTGGGAGGTGGCAGGGCCTTGGCCCCCCAAAACTTTGAGGGCCACAATTAGTGGTGAGTTCAGATGGGAGCTGTGAAGGATGGGGGCGTTGTTTGGTTTGGTTGTGCTTTTTAAAAAAATTTAAATACAGCCCTGGCCAGGCAGCTTGCTTGCTTAGAGCGTCGTCTCAATACGCCAAGGTTGCGGGTCCAGGGCACGTACAAGGAGCAACCAATGAATGCAAAAGTGGAACAACAAATTGATGTTTCTTCTTCTCCCTAATAATGCAAAAAAATTAATTAAAACATATCGTTTATACAGGAAATTCCAGAAACTGAATGTGATGAAGTGTCACAAACAAAATACACCTGCGTAAGCAGCCCCTGACACCCCATCTGTTCACCCCAGGGTGCCCACCGTCCCAACATCTATCTCCACACTTTACTTGGTCTGATTTTCTGCTTTCTATAAACAACACCCTACAGCACAGGGCGCGGTAAAAGTAGGTTTACAGTTCTGAGTATGCAAAGCAGTTTATACTTGTACAATATGATTATTAATTATTGTATTGTTTTCTATACGAACTGTAAACCTACCTTTGCCCCATCCTCTATGTACTTCTGGTGTGTGGCTTCACGAGACTGTGTTATGAGATTTATCCATACTGTGGCCTCTAGTTGTAATTTGTTCACTCTCATTGCCATGTGGTATTCCACCGTGTGAACACACCAGTTTATTTTCCACTTGACTCTTTTTAAAGATTTTAGTTACTTTTAGAGAGAGGGGAGGGGAGGGAGAAAAAGGGAGAGAAATCTCAATGTGCAAGACATACGTCAATCACTTGCCTCTCACACGCCCCCTACTGGGGACATGGCCTATAACCCAGGCATGTGCCCTGACTGGGAATGGAACGGGTGACCTTTTCATTCACAGGCCAGCACCCGCTCCACTGAGCCACACCAGCCGGGACTTCCATTTGACTTTTAACAGGCATTTTGGGTGTTTCCAGGTCTGGGGTGTTACAAACAGTACTGCTAGGAACGTCCTTGTGCACACCTTTGGTGTACCTATTCATGCATTTCTGATGGAGATGTGCCTAGGAGCCATTGCAGGGTCCCATGAGAGGGTGGAGGTGACCAGTCAGGCCTGGCGTGTGGACAAGGGGCTCGGCAGTGCAGGTGTGAATGCTGCCCGGAGAGCCACGGGAGGCTGCAGAAGTCACCTGCCTCCTCCGAGCTGGGTTAGGCGAGTGATGCCCCTGGTATCGCTCTGAGCATCCTGGGAGGTGTTCCAGCCTTAGTCACTTGTTATCTTCCCAGCATCCTGCACGGTAGCTCTTAATGATCCCCCTTTATAGGTGAGGACAGTAAGGCCCAGGGTGTCCCACCATGTGCCAGGTCCCCCGGCTAGGACACGGCAGAGGCAGGGTTTAAACCCAGGTCTGCCTAATGGGTGGGCCTTGGTTCTGAACCACACCACATTGCATGAGCCAAACTGCTGGCAGCTGTCCCCCACTGACCTAGATGTCCTCAGACAAGCCCCGAGAGCCAGGCTTCCCAGAGTCCCCAGCTGTCCCAGGTAGGGCTGGTCTTTCACTCTGGCTTCTGCTCTGGCAGAGTTCGGGGGGGCGGCCCTGAAGCTAGAGGCACAAAGCGTAACGCTGGTTTGCGCTCAAACACTTCGGCTCTCTGGGCTTGTTTCCCCGAATGGCATCAGCACCGCCCTCTAAGCCAGAGGATTTTCCCTTCCCTTCAAGAATCTCTGTGTTCGAATTCCTAGGCAGTCCTGTCTGTCACAGAAGTGGGCCAGGGTTCCCCCGGGGCCCTCGCAGCTCTGGTCTCCAGGATTCTGGCTTCTGGGAACATCCTGTTATTCTAGAAAAGATGTGCTCAAACACTGATGGGGATGGGGTGGGGGTTGTCAAAAGGACCCAGGAGCCTGCTCAAAGGGGTTCTCGCTGGCCAGATTTGTGACCATCTGAGCATCAGGAGAGAGATTATAACTGCACGTATCAAATAAAAACCCATGAGTTCACAGCGGTACTCAAAAAAAGGAACTCGTTGTATTGTAGAATGCTAGTCAGCAACAGAGAAATAAATGATTGATACATGCCATAAAATCTCAGAAATGTCACTGGAAGCCGAGCACAAAGGACCACATACTGTAGGATTCCATTTACATAAATGTCTGAAAAGCACAATGAGAGAGTAAGGAGCAGCCTGGGGGCCGAGGGGCTTTCTGTGCTGGTGGGAATGAGCCTGTTGTCCCAACAGCTGCACTCTGTAAATTTACTGAAAGAAAAATCATTAAAACAAATACATTTTATGGCATACAAATGACCTTAATAAAGCTGCTTAAATCAAACAAACCTATTTGCCAGCATTGGAGACTATCAGCTCGCGTCTCTACAATCAGTAAAGGGAAGAGTCAAACATTTTCTTTTTTAGGCGGAATTTAAGTCCATTAGTTGATTGAAAACACTTCTCAGAATCCCAGCAGATGCTAGAGAATGACTGATACATTTCTAAGGTGGGATTATGGTATTTTGGTCATGTCAGAACCCCTTTATTTTTAAGATCTGCTTTTCAGGTGTTTAAGGGTGAAGTACATGCCTTAAAGTTCTCTAAAATATTTTTTAAAAGAAATAGCAAGATGTTAATTACTGTGTTGAGGTGTTGATTTTATGCGTAGATTTTACGTGGTTTTCTTAACTTTTCAGTACATTTGAAAATTTTCCAACTTCTTTTTTAAGCACCTTCAAATGAACCTTGCGGCGACTGCCTGTGTGTGAACACGCTGAAGGTCAGGCAGGGTCAGGTCTGCTGTGCCCACCTGTCTCGGCCACATCTGTGCCCTCAAGCATTTCACTGGCCACGCCCCCTCATGCCCCCACAGGGGCCCTGCCAGGCTAAGGGGCCCCGAAAGGCCTCAAGCCCCCACCAGGCTGCTGCGACCCTTGCTCTCCTGGAACCTCCACCAACTGCACCCCAAAGACTGGGTCCCCAGCCCTGGCCCAGGAAGTAAACGGCCACACGTGTACCCAGCGGCACAGCAACTTGGGAGGAAGTCCTCTGAATCATTTATTTGACTTGAAGTCAATGCACAGACGCTCTACCATACAAAAGTTGGAAGCTGCAACAGATCGAGTGCCAGAGGCAGTGCATGGACTGTAAACAGAGACAAAATGAAAATGCCACTTCTGTGTGATCTGGGAGCAAATCAGAGTGGGCTGGGCCCAGGCCCAAGATTACATTCACAGCGCGGGGTAAGTGCAAATGAACGGAATGTGGGGATGGGGGACGCCGCCCCGGTCCTCCCCTCTCAGGAGGCCGCTGGGTTTGGAGTCAGACCGAGGTCAGTGCCAGCAGCCCCCCAGTCTGGGGGGTGCAGGGCGGTGGGGGGAGATGAGGGGCGCTTGGGAGGGGGATTCCAGGAGGAAGGTGGGCTCACAGAGGATGGGCCACGCCCAGCATCTCCCTCCCCCATCTCCTTCTCCCTCCAGACCCACATGGGCAAGGCTGGCCCCCCTTGGGGCCCCTCTGCCGTTCAGGGGAGAGGGGCCCCGGCCTGAGGAGCCCGTCCCCCACATCCAGAGAGCGGAGAACCAGGAGAAGGGCGTCTCTCACAGGCCCCCCAACCTGGACAGGGGCAGAACCTCAAAATAAAGTGTTAAGGCAATAAATAAAACATCCCAGCTGGGGTGAAGACACCATGCGAGAATTGAGTCTGCCGGGCTGACAGGAGCCCTGTGGTGTGGGGACAGATGACGTGGGGACAAGTGCTGACTGCCTCCCCTGCAGGACCAGCAGGGAGGCGGGCCCTAGGCGGCTGCCCCTCTGGAGAGCGTTTGTGTGTCCAGGGGAAGGCCGAGTGCGGGGCAGTTCCTGGTCCTAGGGAGGGCTGGGGAGCTGGTCCAGGCCTGCACACCCGCTGACCCACCCAAGTGGTCCCTGGGCCCCTCGCTCCTCGGGCCACCGCCAACAGCAGCACAGGTGATAGGCCTGGTCAGAGCCTCCAGTTCTGAGCTGGGCCCCACCCAGGGGGTTTGGGGCTCACAGAGGAAGGCAGGTGGGGCGGGAGGACTAGCCCCACCTCCTGTCTTTGGTGGTGGCAGAAGTGGAAAGAGAAATGACAGGCTTTGGCAGGGAGAGGGAATGTCAGAGGACAATGTCCTGGTTTGCTGCTGCGACCTGTCCCAGGCCAGCTCCCTGCCCAGATGCGAGCACAGGGGGTGGGGGGAGCAGTCCCCAGCAGGGCAGATCTCCCACCTGCTGCCAGCCCAAGCCTACTGCCACCAAGGTGCCCACCACCCCACTCTCCCAGTGAGGCCCCCACCCTCCCTCTCTGGAGCCACAAAATAACAGCGCCCCGGGGCGGATGGGGCTGGCCTGCCCGTCAGGGCCTGGATTCTGAGACCCTTCAGCCCAGGTTCCTTCTGGCTCAGGACATCAGCGACCTTGACCACAGAGCCCTGCCATCCCCACCTTTCACTGCCACCCTCCTCATCGGCAGCCCTGGGGTGGGAGGCGATTTTGGGGTCCCACACCGAGGGCACCCCAGCTCTGCGTGCCCCAGTTCTCCTCACAACACGCGCCTCTCTCTCACTACCTTCTCCCTCAAGCCCCAGTGGCCACTGGCCCAGCCTCCGCTGCCCCAGGCACGGCCGAGGGCAGTCAGGGGCCCCTGGGGGCGCCATCCCTCTCCGGGGAAGTTTGCTCCCCAGGCCTCAGGGATTCCCAGGTGATGGGGGTGGGGCAAGGTCAAGGGCCAATGCCCATCTTCTCCACAGCCGGGGCTCTCTCGCTGCTGACAGCCACAGATGCCCAGGCCCTTGGGTGCCAACCCAAAGGAGGGAGGAGGCACCTTCTCCCTGCCGTCACCCGTGTGGACGAGGCCCCGGCAGCCCCTCCCCAGCCTGCACCCGCCGCTACTGCAGCTCCTCCAGGGGGCCGTTCTCTCGGGGCAGCACCCCGTTCAGGCCAACGCTGCTGGCCGCCGGCGTGCCCAGGTAGCCGAGCAGGATCTCGCTGCGGCGCCGCGACAGCTGCAGGATGTCATGTGCCAGCGCCGGCACTGAGGTGTAGCGCACGTTGTCCAGGTCAAACATGTCCCTCAGGTACTGCACGATCTGGTCCTGGGGTACAGGGCTGGCATGAGACCTGGGCTGAGGCCCCTGCCCCCACGGATGGCCTCCAGGCCTCCAGGTCCCCAGGGCCCTCCCGGGGCTTCCGCAGACCCGCGGGGCCAGGCTCCCCGTGGGAGGGGCAGCACACGCTCTCTGCAGCCACCCCGCTGGCCCTTTCTGGGGAGCAGGCCCAGGTTCTCGCTCTGCTCCTAGCACCTTCCAGGGCTCCGATTCCAGGGGCCATGGCAGGAAGGGCCCAGGAGCGGCAGCAGCCACAGCGCTCCATGCTTACCTTGAAGAAAGCACAGACTTCGGCGAGCTGGGGCTTGGGTCCAAGGAAGCCAAAGGCCAAGACAGGACTAACATGCTCCGATACGGAGTAGAAATGGGAGATGAAGCCATCGGGCACCTGTTCGGGGGCAGAAGGTTGAGGCTGGGACCCTGGGGTCATCCGAAGGGCTGGGCGTTAGAGGGAGACCTGGCGCATTCACATCCTCGCTGGGTGACCCTGGGCAAGAGACCAGGGAAGGCCACATTCTTGCCTCTACAGAATGGGGGTGACCTCAGGGCTGCTGTGAGGGCTGCCCAGGGAGGGCCTGGGGAGGGCTTGGCACAGGAAGTGCCCCGAGTGCGTGGTGGCAGCAGCTGGTATCAGCTGGGCAGCAGAGCCTGGCTGGCCAAGAGGCACTATGGATCGCAGCCCAGACAGTGCAGCCCGCGCTGCCTGGGAGCGCAGGTAACAGCGCCCCGGGGCGGATGGGGTCTGCCCGTCCCCAGGGCACCCTGCCTCCGGCCGGCTGCCGGCTGCCGCACCTGTGCCTGTGCCCTTCCCCCTCTCCTAATTCCCTCAACATTTCCTGATGCCCCACTCCCCTGGGCCCTGCGAGGTGAGATGACGGTGCTCCTGGTCAGGGGAGAGGCACTGGCAAGACAGGCGGCTATGCTGTGACAGAGTCCAGAAGGTGCAGCCAGGCCTGGGAGCTCAGCAAGGCCTCCCTGCACCAGCCCCATCTTCTGCCCACCCTGCCACGCCCAGCCCTGCCCCGTCCCACCCAGGGACCAGCACACCCCTAGGCCGGTGCGACCCCCAGAGCCCCCAAGAGCGCGCGCCTGGGGGCCGTCAGGTCACTCACCATCAGCAGCCTCCTCTTGGCTTTGAGGACAGACCAGCAGGCGGTGGCCAGGGCCTAAATCAAAAGGGCGCAATGGGCGTCAGAAGAGCAGGCCAGGCCGCAGCCCTGCCCATCCCCAGCCCGGGACCAAGGCCTTACTCCCAGCAGGAAGGTGGGGCTTGGTGCCTGAGCTCTGCTGTCTCCCTGCCCGCTATTAGGAATTACACCCCTAAATCTGAATCTCGACTCCAACGCTTACCCCTGCGGGCCCGTGGACTAGGCACTGAACATCTCTGGGTCTGTTTCCTGACCCACAGAATGGCTGTGAGCTGATACCCCATCTTATGCGGGGGCTGTGCAAGCCACAGTGACCGCCTGGATACCGCCTGTGAGGAGCAGCCCAGCCTCCCCAGACCACGCCCTGCCACCCGTCTCGGCTTCCTGAGTGGCATGCCTGCCCTGCAGCGCCCGAGCTCAGTGCTCTCCTGCTGTTCCTCTTCTTTTCCATGTTTTAACATGACTTAATAGGGTGCATTGAAAATTGAATAACACTGACACCAGCACAGGATGAGTAGAGTTAAGTGAAACCATAGCAGAGAAGGAAAACGCACAGGCCACCAGCCTCACAGCGCAGCCGAGGAGAGCATGGGTGCCAGGAAGCTCCTTCAGGGCGGAGGGGCGGGGAGCCTGCCCCACGGGGTGACTGCGGGCTGACGGGGGGAGTCAGCGTCCAGGCCAACACACAGGACTGCGCTGGGAGTGGGGTGGCACCCACCGTCTCCTTGAAGCTGTCCGACAGCCAGCGGTTCCTCAGGACAGCGAGCACTGAGGACGGGGGGTTCTCCAGGTCCTCGAAGGCATCCATGAGGATGAAGTCCAGCACGATGTCAAAGAAGCTCATGCACACCACCTGCGAGAGGCAGGCAGCTCTGTGGCCAGGACCGCTGCCCAGAAGGGAGGCCAGAGGCCAGAGGGGGCCAGGGTGTGTGGGGCCCCATGGGGGAGCAGACACGTCTCTGCTCTGTGACGGGGTGCTGCTGGGGCCATCTCTCTCACGGCCACGGCCTGGGTCTGGGGCGGGGCGGAAACTGGGGGCTTACAGCAGCAATGGTGCCACCTGAGACCCTCAGAACCAGGGCAGAGCTCGGCACAGGCACCCGCCCTGCACAGGGCCTCACACACTAGCACAAACCGACTCACCCCTCGGCCCTCCAGCTCCAGCCGAGTGGTGGCCCAGGTCTCCGGGCGCAGGGCATAGCTCAGCATCTCCTCATAGCTCTCCAGGAAGCCTTTGGGGCTCTGTGGGGAGAAACACAGTCTGTCCTGTTCATGGGAGAAGCCCCGAGACCCAGCTGGACTGGATCTGCGAGGACAGGCTGGCCTGTGGATGGGGACAAGCCAAGGCAGGGCCAGGGCCAATCCCTGAGGAGCAGCCATGGAGAAAACAAAGCAAGAAGAGTCCCCTGCCTGCCTCGATGTACCTCTGCAGAGACCAGGGCGTTTCCACAACAGTTCTAACACCAAGTGCAACATTTCACGCCAGCCCATTCCTGGGCCCCTACTGCCTTCCAGGAGATGTGCACATGCCAGAGTAGGAGCTCACTTTGGAAGGATGGGTGAGAATAGGAGGCTGAGTCAGGCAGCCAAAGATCCAAATCTCTATGACCTTGAGCCTCACTGGCGAAACAGGAGAAGCTCGAGCCAGCCCCACGCTCACAGGGCTTTTCCAGGGGAGTCAATGAGCTCATGCACGTAACACAATCGGCCCAGTGCCTGGACCTTGGCCACGAATAAGGCATGAGCCTGCTGCCGCCAGTCCTCGGGCCACCAGCGCACAGGCCGAGTCCCTCACCCCCTGGCACTGTGAGGTTTAGCGGGGGCACGATTTGCAGGTGTGGATGTGCATTTATGGGCATGGGAAGCTAGAACATGCCAGGGACTGATCTAATGCGGATCCACTCACCTAATTCGTCCCGTCCTATGGGGGACATTCTGGATTATGCCCATTTACAGATAAGAATACTGAGGTTTCTGGAGATCAGTGATGTGTCCAAGAGCCAGGCAGTGTGGAGCTGACCCCCAAGAGCAGGGGCAGGTTGATGCCATTTGTACAGAACCACAGCAGAGATGGCACCAGGGAAACAGTCTCCAAAACGTGAACAGGGCGGGGCCAGAACTCACCGAGCCTCGAGGAGACCGAGGCAGCCCACAGCGGGCTGTGGGGTGAGGGCTGTGCTGGGTTCTCGAGCCCGACGGAAAGAGGCAGGTGCAGCCACGCTAGGGGAAGAGCTGCTAGCAGGGACTCAGAAGACAAATGACCAAGGGAGAAAGAGAGGCAGGCGGATGGGGACCTTCCAGACGCCAGCAACATGCCACTTCCTAACCTAGGTGCCAGATACATGGCGGTTCACCTTTTCAATCATTAAACCCTACAGATGCACTTTTGCGCTCTCATAAGTACACCCCACAGTGACATTGTTAACAACACATATCGAGGAATAGTGTGCCAGGTGTGGACGAACCAGCAGAGGCAAAGGCCCAATCAGGGAGAAAGTTGGTGTGGACCAGAAGCCTGGAACTGCCCAGTGTGGACAGGACGAAGTGCCCAGAGCGGCAGGCCACCGAACGAAGCCCAACCTTTACACCGAGGGCGGCGGGAGTAGGGGAGGGTCTGACACGGCTGGGTGATGAGGCCAGAGCTGCGTTCTGGAACTACCCTGGCTCGGGAGGAGAAGAGACTGAGGGGGAAGAGGCACGTCCAAGAGTTTCATTCAAACCCATCAAAGAGAAGAAACACGTGTGACCAACAGACATGGAAATTTATGCAACCTCGTTAATGATGAAAGGAACATCAAGCACGAATAAAATAAACACTAGAAACATTATTAACATCCAGTATTGGCCAGGATGTAAGGAGACACACTCCTACAGTGCTGCGCGAGGACCTAGGTTAAGGCAGTTCAGGGGGCGCACTGGCCAGGTCTGCCAGCCTTTTCAACATTGAAGCCCACGCCCCAGTGTTGCCACATCTGGGGCTTTGCCCCACAGCAAAGCTCCCAGCACCCAGAGAGATCTGTAAGAGACTGATTACAATGGTGGTGTCTGTGAGCCCTGGCTGGTGTGGCTTAGTGGACTGAGCGCCGGCCTGCGAACCAAAGGGTTGCCAGTTCGATTCCCAGTCAGGGCACATGCCTGGGTTGCAGGCCAGGTCCCCAGTAGGGGGACGCACGAGGGGCAACCACACATTGATGTTTCTGTCCCTTTCTTTCTCCCTCCCTTCCCCTCTGTCTAAATATAAATGAATAAAATCTTAAAAAAAAAAAAAAAAAAAAAAAAGAGCGGTGTCTGTGACCCTGAAAATGAGGCACAAGCCAAATGCCCATCCCTCGGAGAACCGGGTAAGCCACAGGCAGAAACCCTCTGGGATGCAACACAATTGGTCAACATTAACTGCATGGACTGACATGGAAACACGAACAACATACACTCATATACAGCCAAGTAAGGCTGCATAGGGTCTGCAGGGCGCAGCCTGAGCCTTGGAAATTAGCAACAAGTTCAAGGGTTAAAGCCGGCAAAAGTGAACAGGACAGGTATCAGGCTGCAAGTAGCAGTTCCCCCTGGCAGGTGGCCCTCAGGGAGACCCTCTGCGGTGTGCACTTCATAGTCGGTGAATTTTAGAGCTTTATTATATTGTAATCAGAAATACGAAGCTATACAGATCCGTATTTTTCAAAATTAACACAGGAAAAAACTCCACGCCTTTCCCAGCTCCCCCACAGGATAAAGTCCAACTTCCCCAGCTTGATTTCAGGTAGGGTTTTTCTTCTCTCTTTTCTCTTTTTCTCACATAACCAAATGGAAGTTCAAAAATAAAATAGAACAAGGCGACAGGGGAAGAAAACGTGAAAGAAGAGGCCTCGCCCCCAGCTACCTTCTCGGCCTTCGTCATTAGGCCCGTCACCATCTGCCGGCCGACCTCCCCGAAGAAAAGCTGGTTCCGCTGGTCTCCCAGAAGGCCCTACGGCGTGGGGAGGAGGGGCGGGGGGGAGAGTGAGCTGCCCAGCCGGCAGCCCCCACGGCAACCACGAGGGCAGTCCAGTGTATTAACAGGTGACCCATGTGCACTGAGGGGCCAGGTGCGGGGACAGGCCCGGCAGAACCCTGCTGGCCTGGTCCCACCCCTGACCCGGTCATCCCCAGGTGCCCCACGGCACACCCACCTCGAACGCCTGCCGCACACAATGCAGCTTGGCCAGAAAGTCCTGGTCACTGTAGCAGCCCAGCAGCTCTGTCCTGAGGGGAAGCACAGGCAGTCGCGCCACCAGGGCCCCATCCAGCGAAGCCCCCATGGGGTTCTGGGTAGAGCCCCAGGTGGCCCTGGCCTGGCCTGGTGGCGTGACCTTGGGCAGCTGTCTGTCCCATGTACGCCTCGGCCTCTCCCAAGCCGAAGAAAGAGGCTGACTGGACACTCTCTGAGGACAGGCAGCCGCAGTGGTGCTGAGCGCCACCGGCAGGCCTGGCCACCGAGGGTCGAGCCGACCTTGGCCGCCTTTAGGCCCCAGTCAGCAGAGGACGGAAATGCCATCTGCTCCCGGCTGGCAGGATGCCAGGCAGGGGCTGCTGCCCACCGGGTCTGGCTGCCCTTTACCCAGGTCGCCAGAGCTTCAGCTTGGGCTTTCAGCCACTTCAGCCCATGAACTTTAAACACACAGAACTCAAATTTGTAGTCATGACCGAAAGCCAAGTTATGAGTTTCATATTATACAGAAAAATTAATTTAAAATGAGTAAGAGACCTAAATACACCACGGAAAGTGTCGTCTCAGGACATGAGGCCAAGGAACAAAGCCCAGAGTGCTTCTGTGGCTGGACCCCTTTGAGAGCTTGGAACAAGCACGAAATGTTTTATTATTAATTGTATTAATTTGTCATTGTTCATTCCAGACCCGCCTGTCTCGGGACTCAGGGCGTCCGAGGCCCTCCTCGGTGGGGTGGGAGTGGGGCCAGCCCCTCATGGTCCTCAGCGAGCCTGGCTGAGTCCTCACCAAAGAGAAGACTGCTGGCTTCCCCGGCCTCCTCGGGGCGGTGGGGCAGCCCCACACGCTCACCTGAGGGTCCGGCAGAGCACCTTCCCCTCCTTCACCAGCTGCAGGGCCTCCTCGTAGGCGGCGGCCGGCCTGGAGAGCGGGATCGGGTAATCGCCGATCTGCAGGGACTCGAAGAGCTGGGGAGGGAGCAGAGGCAGAGGAAAGGCCCATCAAAGCCCGTGTCACCAGCTCCCGGGGTTAGCGCCTGCGCCTGGCGGACACCCTAGGGGCCAACCTCTCAGAGGCGAGGTCGGAAGGAGCACTGGCCCAGGAGGTGGACGGCCTGGGTTCAAGTCCAGCTCAGGCCCTCGGTGTCCCCATCTCCAGGGACTCTTCCTGAAGGAAGCTGAGCCCCCGTCCTCCCGCCCCAGGCAGGACGGCTGGGCCTGACACACATGCCGTGGCAGGGGACCAGCGCCAAGCCACGGGCATGTGGCAGAGTGAGGGAGAGGTCAGTGTGGGCTAGAGCTGGTGGCGGCAGAGACCGCTGCCCTCACCCCAGGACCTGTGACCCCTGGCTTCTCAGGCCTCCCCACCCCCAGCAACTGCCTGGGCTCCCCGGGGAGCAGCCCTCAGCGACCGCCCGATTCCGCTCCCGTCGAGGGAACAGCTGCACTTTCCCACGCCCGTGCTCACACAGGGTCGCACGGAGGCCCGGCCTTAGCTCCACCCATCCCCGTGCCCATCCACCTCCCGCATCACCTCAGTGGCGGAGAAGAAGGAGTCCTCCGAGGTCAGGCTGTCCTCATCGTCTGCCCGCAGGCGCAGCGAGCCCTCAGTCAGGGGCAGCATGAGGGTCCGCTCTGCGAGGAGCGGGGAGAGGAGGGCTGAGCACGACTCCCGAGATCCCCGGGTGGGAGGTGCGCGCTCGGGCCCGAATGCTGGACTCTGGCGGATGACGCCGATCAGCACAACGCTCCTGCTTACTGAGCACTTGTGCGTGAAGACCCTGGGCCTGTCGCCTCAAATGAAGGGCCCCCTTCAATCCTGAGACATCCTGGCAGCAGAGCACAGTTAGGTGTGGGAGCAAGGCTGCTGAGGGGACCGGCCCGCCACCACACAGCTGCATCCTGAGTCCTGGCGGCCCCTGAGCTCCTCAGAGGCAGGCCCCCTTGTGCTGTGTGGCCCTTGGCAAGTCGCTTGCCCTCTCTGACAAGCTGAAACTTAGCCAGTGACACCATGGGCTCAGAGGAGCCCATGGGCCACTCACTCAAGCGTCCTCATCCTCACCCACTCAAGGGCTGAGGGAGCCTGGACCTTCACAGCACCTCAGAAAGGCTTGTGAAACCCACGAGCAGAGTCTGCCCGAGAGCCCACCAGCCTTCTCCTGTGTGGGAGGCCAGAGGACATGGGACCTGTGACAGGCGAAGCCGCTCAGGGAGGGGCTGTGGGAAAGCGTGTCGCCCTGGCCAACCTGTGCTGGGCCTGGGTCGCCACTGGTAGAGCCGGGGAGCTGGACACTCTGGGCTCTGCTGTCCCCCTCAGGGCTGGCAGCACACAGGGAGAGGCCCGGGGGTCGTCACATTCACTGCACAGGGCCTGGCGCCCAGCAGCCACTAGGACACCCTTGGCTGCTGGCGGCATAACGTCATTCTCCCGGCGATGTCACGCCCTTCGCCGCAGTGGGGCAGGGTGGTGGCAAGGCTCGTGTCCTTGGCCCTTTGGCCTGCTCTGGGCTGATATTGGGAGTCATCCTCTCTACCCGCCCAGTGCCCGCAGGGAAAGACTCGAACCAGAGGCCTGAACAGGCCCCGGGCTTACTCCCAGGGGACAGGGCCAGGGGCTCCCCAGGGCCCCGCCGCGGCTCAGGTCCTGCCTGCCACATATCAGGGGACACCTCTATCCCTCCAGGACCGGTTTCCCTACCTGCGCACTAGATCGCAGGTGGCCTGAGGGCCCTGGGGACTCTGGTTTGCCCGTTGCACTGAGGGAGTCATGCTCCGCTTCCCGCCCTGCCTCCCCACCCCCCACGCCCACCGCCGTGCAGGCCGCCGGGGCCGGCTCACCCAGGTCCAGCAGCATGCTATCGGACGGGAAGGTGGATCCAAACTCCTCCTGCAGATGGTAGGCCCGGTGCAGCAGGGATTCCAGCTTCTCTGCAAACTCCCTCCGCTGTGACTCTGGCTGCGGTTAAAACAGTGACCATCAACCTGGGCCCTCCCTGCGTCCATGCCAGCAGCCCCCTCCCTCACCAAGAATGGGGGTCCCAGCCCCCGGGGAGGAGGGGCAGGCTCGGAGACCCTACGAGAGCTCAGGTGTAAACTGAAGCTGCCCCATGCAGGAGCCGCATGTGGCCGGTGAGCTTCGGAAATGTCGTCAGTTGCTCACGTCATGAGATGTGCTCGAGTATGAACACACGCTAGATCTCAAACACTAAGCGCCAAATAAATAAATAAATAATCGATCTCAGCCATTGTTCACGTTGATTACATGTTCAAATGATAATACTATGGATATACTATCTTACATAAACTACCCTGTATTATTAAAATTAACTCATCTGTTTCCTTTTGCTTTTTAACGTGGTCTTCTAGAAACTATTCAGTGAGCTATGTGGCCTCCTACTGGCAGCGCTGTCCTGACCCAAGCTGACCCGGGTTCAGACCGTGGCCCCACCAGTTCCAAGCTGTGTGACCTGAAGCAAAAAGCACCCCCATTCTGAACCTCAGTTTCCCCATCTGTCAACTGAGTTAGGGGTGCCTACCTCCTAGGGTTCTAGGGGAAACAGGAAGGAGAAAGGCCAGCAAGTGTTAGCTGTTAGAATACTCATCGTGCCTGTTGTTACCACTGTACTAGGAGAGCAGTCAGGAGCCCAGGAGCGCTGTGTGCAGCGCCCGGGAAGGCACTGCACTGCGACCGGCTTCCTGCGGCCCCAGCGACCTCCTTGCCGCCCCCACCTCCTCTGACCCCAGGCTCCTCTGTGCCAAGAGGCCAGGCACGGGCAGACCCAACTCCGTTTCCACAGAAGCTGCCAGGTCCTGCACTTGCACGAAACCAGACCCGGGGGGAGGAGACGGCTGACTCGGGCCTGAGGCCACCGGGGAGAAAGGGCCGAAAGAGCTCAGAAGGGACAGTAATGATGTGAATGGGTGCCTTTCACCGAGCGCCTGCCCTGGAGCAGGCGCCTCGCAGTTCAGCCCCCTGGTCTCCCTCAGAGGCACGTACTACTCTGACTCCATTTCACAGAAAAAACGCAAGGCACTTTCAGGGGCCCGGCCTACCACGGAGAGCCGGGAAGAGCTGGGGTGCGACTCCAGACCCACAGGCCACTTCGCTCAGTTCTCCCACAGGGTCAGACGCTGCTCCAAGCAGCGCGAGACTCGTGGCTTTGGCTGCGACCTGCCAGCTCCGTCTCTGTGAAGTGACCTTGTGTTAGGGACTGGTTTCTTAGCTCTGACACCAAAAGCATCAATGACAAAAGAAAGAATAAAGATACTGAATTTCATCATAACTAAGAAACTTTTGTGCTTCACAGGCAAGAAGGTGAAAAGACAACCACTGAATTAGAGGAGGTATTTGCAAAAGCTATCTCTGACATGGATGGGGGCCCAGACTACCTAAAGGACTCTTACAGCTCATGAGGAAAAAGACATATAACTGGATTAAAAGTAAAGCACAGGATCCAAGTAGAGACTTCTCCAAATAAGGTACACAAATGGACAAAAAGCACAAGATGCTCAACCTCATTAGCTATCAGGAAAACGCAGAACAAAACCACAATGAGGTACCATTTCACACCCACTAAGACGGCTGGAATCAAAAAGCCAGGCTATAACAAGAGTGGCAAGGAGGTGGGGACTTAGAGCCTCGTACACTGCTGGTAGGCGCGTAAAACGGCGCAGCTGCTTCGGAAAACAGCCTGGCAGTGGCTCAAAACGTTAGACAGAGAGTCACCATACGACAGTCATTCCGCTCCTGAGTACATACCCGACGGATTTCAAAATACATGTCTACACAAAACCTTATACACAAATATCCACAGCAGTTATTATTCATAAAAGCCACAAAATGGAAACAACACAAACACCCATCCCATGGTGAATGGAGAAATAAAATGTAGCCTATCCATACAACAGAATATCAGTCAGCAGTAAACAGAAACAAAGCAGCGACCTATATTACAACAAGGATGCGCCTGAAAACGCATGTGAAAGGAGCCAGTCACAAAAGGCCACGGGTTATACAGTTGGAAGAAACACCCAGAACAGGCACATCTACAGAGACAGAAAGTAGATTGGCGGTTGCCTAGGGTACGGGGTGCAGCCGGAGGACTGGGAGGGGAGGTGTGACCACGAGCAGCACCGGAGTTCTTGCTGGGGTGATGAAAATGCTCCAAAATTGTGCCTGTGTGATACACTCCTACAACGCTGGGAATATACTACACGCCGCTGAAGTCTGCCATTTAAATTGGGTGAATTTTATGGTAGGAGGATTATATTTCAATAAACTTGTTAAAAAGTGTTTAGCACAGAAAAATGCCTCCAAGACTACGAAGGGGTTCTGCCTGGGCGACAGGTTCTGAGCATCAATAATACCGACGACAAAGATCATTTACTGGGCACCCCCTGCGGGCCAGGATCGCGGGGCGGGCACCGCTGTCCCACTGAGGGCACCGGCTCTCAGAGGCACCAACAGCCCTTGTCCATGTCACACAGATCAGAGCCTGAGCTCTTATTTTTCCCACTCCTTTCTGTTTCTGTAGTTTTCACTATTTCACTAAGGACTGTTTAATTGTTTTCACAATAAGGAAAACAATGAAAGTGCTGTAACATTAAAATGCAGTATTAGCCCTGACTGGTGTGGCTCAATGGGTTGGGCATCGTCCCGCAAAGCGAAAGGTCACCAGTTTGATTCCCGGTCACAGTGCATGCCTGGGTCACGCACCAGGTCCCCAGTTGGGGACATGCAGGAGGCACCTGATAGATGTACCTCTCCCTCTCTTTCTCCTTCCCTTCTCCTCTCTAAAAATCAGTAAATAAAATCTTTTTTCAAAAAAGATGCAGTGTCAGCGATAAACACAATTGTGGTAAAGGCGCCACCCCCCCACCCCCAATGCGCTCCCTTCTGCCCACACGCAGAGGCGGCCTGAAGCAGCTGCGCCCTGGGGTGCTGAAGGCTTTCTTGCATTCAAGGTATTTCCCAACCTTTGCGAAGTCATGCCTGCGTGACAGGCCTCCGAGCTAATAGTGCCCCCAGCTGGGGTGAAGGGCAGTACTCCTTGCCACAGGCTGCGCCAGGCAGTCCTCATCCTGCGCACTGTTACCCAGCCTCCCAGCCCACAGAGGCCCAGGCGGAGGAAAGAAGGGTGTGGGGAAGAAGGTGAAGAGACGTTCCTTCTTGTCCCTGCCTCACACCATGTCCCCACCCTACCCTATCCAAAGTAGGGACAATCCCCGCTGGTCAGCCCCTGCAAGACTCCAGCTTCCAGGTGAGCTATGGACACGCCGCCTCTGGCGCTGGGCGTCTCAGCCCCGCCCTGACCTGTGCGATCATCCCCTGGACGACCCGCCCTCCACTGTCACAGCTGAAATTGTTCCCGTCTCCTGGGAACCCCTGACGGACTCGCCAGATATTGTCAGGCTGCTCCCCAAAGAGATGCCCCCTCGCTGGACCTTGTTCCAGCAGAGCACAGGAGCTCATAACGGCTATGTTTTCCTTGTTTGTTTTTAATTTTAATTTTTATTTATTTTCTTGTTATTAATTTTTATTATTTAAAATTTACATCTTATGATTGTTTTATATTTTTATTTATATGATTTCAGAGAGAGGAAAGCAAGGAGAAAAAAACCTTGATTTGTTGTTTCACTATTTTAAGCGTTCTCTTGCATGGGCTCTGACCGGGGATCAAACCCGTAACCTTGGTGTATTGGGATGACACTATTCCAACTGAGCTACCCAGCCAGGGCCTTGTTTTTTAACAGAGAAGAAGCCCACAGCCCCACCAATTATACAAACCCCACACATACGCATGTGCTCAAAATGAGAAAAGTTAAACAGTAAAGGAGTGCTGAAAAGAACAGGAAAGTACAATAAAAGCCTTTGTCCACCTTTCCCTGCAGACCCTCTCCTCGTAGGTCACTGTGAACCATTTCCAGTGCATCTGTCAGAGGAAAGTAAAAACACACGCACATATCAGCAGTCACCAAGAGGCGCACGGGTGCGTAGCTGTATCTGTTCAAAACACACACATGGGCCATTCTGCACACAGTCCACATCTTGCTCTTTTTACTTGATGTGTTGTGCAGATAGCAGCCAATCAGCCCACGTGACTTCCCGCGGCCTTTTAATGGCTGCATGGTATCCCAGACCCCTGCTGGTGGGAAATTAGATTGTTTCTAGTTTCCAACTCTTACAAAATAATGCCTTACGGGCCATCCATCCTAGGACATACTTTTGGTGTGCTTTTCACAAAAACGTTTTATTTTAGCTTTTTTACTTTATTCCTCATTCCTGATGTTGAAATAAAGGTTCACTGTAGAAAACTTGGATGATGTCCCCCCAAAAAGTACAAAGAAAAGACAAAAGCTGTATAATCCACTCAGCTATGCCCGCAGGCTCTTTTCCCCCGGTCCTGCAGGAGTGCACGGTTGGGGTCTGGGTGTGAGCATCGCTGTGATTTACTGTGTAACTACCATGTGCCAGGCGCATGCTCAGCATATTACAGGGATGTTTTCCTTGGTTGGGCCGACATCCTGGTCAAGGGGAAAACTCCGATCCAAGGGGATGAGTGACTGGTTGGCAGGAGGCGGGGCTGCTGGGCTGCCTCCCAAAGCCTGGCTGCCCATCGATCCTCTCCTTGGCCAGGGCGTGAGGACCACCTACCTCAGACAGTGTCTCTGAAGCAGTCTCGGGGTTCCGGAGGCTGTCCCCCGGTGTGGGGGTGCTGCCGTTGTCCCCCCTCTGCCCCACGCTCAGCGCCTGCTCCCACTTTTGCAGAGCCTCCTCGAACAGCTCCATGCCTGAGCACAGGCCAGAGAGAAGGGAGAGTCAGGGCCCCAGCGAAGAGAAGCAGCTCGGCCCCGCATGGCATCCCTCGAGGGGGCCCCAAAGGACAAGAACGGGCAGGACTTTGTGGGCCAGGTCCTGGTCATTTTTTTCTTTTTTCTAATTCTCACCCAAGGATATGTTTATTGGTTTTAGAGAGAGAGGGCTGCCTCTCGTACGCGCCCTGACTGGGGATTGAACCGGCAAACTAGGCATGTGCCCTGATGGGGAATCCAACCCGCTGCCACCTTTTTTGTGTGCGGGACACGCTCCAACCAACTGAGCCACTCAGCCAGGGCCCTGATCGCTTTTTTGATCAGTTTACAGCCCTTCATTCAGATCAGATTTGCTCTAGAGGCTGTCCCCTGTCCAGAAATGGCTGGAAACCACTGAACGGGGGTTTGGGCATGGGGAGATGGAAGGGGTACAAAGCAGCACCCGGAGCAGTGTCCTGGGCTTGGCCTGGGCTCCCGGAGGCCATGTCCCACCGCCTCGCCCCGGGAGAGCTCGCGGCCGCCGCTGGCCTGTACCTTGCATGTAGAGACTCTCGGCGTTGCCGTCGCTGGCGGTCACAGACTCCTCCATCCCTCTGGCATCCCACGGTCCCGAGCACGCAGCCGTGGGGCTGGATGAGTTCACCACCACCATCTGGGCACCAAGCGGCGCAAAGACCCAAGGGCGAGAGGTGAGGCCTTTCCGGGCCCCCTGCAGGACCTGGGGCTCCCCCACTGCCTGCCCACGTGCCACACACACTCTCTCCAGACACCATCCCTGGAGCTAGTCCCTGAGTGCAGAGGTCACATCCTCAGCAAAACCTGGTCCACCAGGCACCTGACCACACCTCACAGGAAATGCTGAGGCAGGAGGAAACACCGAGGCCCACACCCAACCCAGGACCCTGCAGCCTCGTACAAAACCTGCCCCGGGCCCCTTCCCTGCTCTGGGGCTCCGCTGCTAGCCAGATGGGGAAGAGTGAGGAAGCACCCAGTGCACGCGGGTTGGCCGGGGCCCACTGTCACCCACGCCCTCTCCCACATGAGCGACCACCTGCCCTGACAGGTTGTGGGTCCCTCTGAGACAACAGTTACCTCCTACCCGCCCTAGGTCCCCAGGGCAGGCCCAGCTCGGAGCTGGGGCTTGGTGCTGACTGAATGAATGAATGAATAACTAGACGAGTAAATGAGACAAAGTCATCCCCCAATGAAAATGACCTGTCTGCCTTATTTATCTCTGTGTCCTCGGCACCTAGCAGAGTCCCTGGCACAAAGCAGAAGCCCCCTCAATGTCCAACGAATGAGTGAATGAACTTGCACAGAGAAGTCTCCCCCGAGAGGCCGCAAGCTTCTCCTCGGCACTGATCCACCTTTCCCCACCGATGCCTGGCACGCAGTGACCGGGTCTGACAGCCTGCTGGACTGGGGGGCGAGTGAGTGACTGAATGCATGTGTGTGTGAATGAGTGAACGAATGAATGAATGAGCGCACAGATGAAAGGCTGAATAAAGTCTCTACTCCCATCTTCCTACCAGTCCATAAGCCCCCTGAGAGCAGAGATGGAATCCGACTTGGTAGCTGGGGACTGGGCCCTGAGGCCGCGGCGGGCCCCCCGCCCCCTCCCCTCCTCCCTTGTCCTCACCGAGGCCAAGCTGTGGGAGGAGCCCGAGTGCTTGCTGGGCTCAATGGAGGAGATGCCACTCAAGGTGTCGTTGCTCTTGCTACTGGGGCTCTGTACCCTCCGGCTGGAGTAGCCTGTGAGGAACGGGAGAGCAGGGGACATGCAGGCTTCCCACACAGCCTTGGTCCAGGTCGCCCCCCGCCTCCAGCCCGCCCCCCGCCTCATCTGAAGCCTGTCGTGACCTGCGAGGTCAGGGTGGTGGCAGAGGACCCCGAGCTGGGTGCTTCGCAAGAGTGCTGGGCCAGAGCCGCTACTCACAGCTGTGTCCCTGTCACTGGCACAGGGCCTGAGGTCCAGCTACTTCCTGCCTTTTTTATTTTTTCTTAAATTGATTTGAGAGAGAGAGAGAGAGAGAGAGGAAGGAGGAGGAAAAAAACACCAGCCAGCTGCTCTACCCACCCACCCACTCACTCACAGGTGGACTCCTGCATGTGCCCTGATGGGGACCGAACCCGCGACCCTGGCGTTATCGGGATGACGCTCCGACCACCCAAGCTACCCGGCCAGGGTCTTCCTGGCCTCCTCCTTACTCGACTTGCCCTGTGCTTCTGGCTGAGTGACTGATTTGGAATTCTCCTCCTTCCAAAAAGGATTCAAGGTAACAATTTTTTAAAGATACAGCAAAGATTTTTTTCTTAAAAAAGTAAAAGAAGTACAGAAAGGAAAATCAAGTGGAACCAGAGAGGGAGCTGGTAGAGGGAAGGTGAGCAAGAGGCTGGTGCCAAGGTGGCTCCACGTTTCCCAGGGGCCGATGCAAAATGGAAACCCAGCAAATCAGCATTTCTCAGGTCCTGTTGTTAATGAATCTAAAAATCTCTTTACCATTGTAAAGAGAAAGCATCCCTTTCCTGATGATAATTCACAATGGAAACTCATTTTCACACAAGGACCCAGGTGCTCCCCAGGGTCCTCAGATGATGGGAACAATCACCACCTAGTGGACAGGTGTTGGGCCACATCACCCACCAAACTCTTACAAGGGCGCAGGGAAGGAGGTTCTGCTGTCAACCCTGCTTCCCAGATAACAGGACCTTGTAGACAGGATGCCACTCGCCCCCGATCCCACAGTTAACAGGGGCCCAGCTGGGACCTGACCCCAGGCCAGGTCCTTGCCCCACCTCACACCTACCTTTCTTCACCGATGGGACCTTCCGGGCCATGAGGATGGGGAGCGGCACGGTGCCCAGGCGCTCGCCTCCCATCTCAGGGCTGACCTGCTTCTTTCTCCGCCGTCGCCTCTTCAGCTGGTGGGCGGCCAGGGCCAAGGCCACGGTCCCTAGTGCCGTGGCAAAGAGGACCTTCCGCAGGCCTGGCGTCAGCCGCAGCTGCGAGAATGCAGACTGCAGGAGAAGAGGGAGACAGCCGGTTACTCCTCCCCAGGAGGGCTCCGGGGGCAGTTGCCCAGGGAGCACCAAGGAGCCGGGAGCACGCCATCGGTCACCTGGGGGATATCTGTTGACCAGAAAGTGTAAGGTGGCCACCTCAAAAGGGGGGACCTGGCCAACCCCTCTGAAATGTGGACCACAGAGGTGTAAAGAGGGGGCTGGAGATGGCAAAATGAAGATGCCAAAGAGGTCGCATCTGGGGCCCAGCACGTGCCACTAACAATGGCGGCCACGATTCTAACAGCTGCAGTGACTGGGAGCCCCCTACGCCAGGCGCCGTGCTGTGACTTTACCTGCATCCCCTGTCTGAATGCCCGCCCTCCTCCAGGCGAGGAATCTGAGGCTCACAGAGGTTAGGACACATGCTCAAGGTGACAGAGAAACGGAAATTGAACCCAGGTGCGCCAGCTCCATTTCTCAATGACCTCTGGAAGACGACAGCATTCATTCCACCCAGCTGTCCTGCGTGCGCACATCCCTGCTCCGCCCTCACTCTCTGCCTGCTGGGCTGGGAGTCGCTCCAGTGGGGCCGCGCCCCCCTGGGTAGGGCTGTCGAAAGCAGGAGGCCTGGTGAGCACAGACATTTGAGGACGGCAGGTACAGACCAGGCTCCAGGCCCAGACTCCAAACCCAGTCCGTCTTACTCTGCTCGAAGAGGAGACCCCAGACACCAAGACCGAAGCAGTGAGGACCCAGCTTTCCTGACGCGGGGGACTCAAGTGTTTCAGGGACCAGGGCAGTCAAAGGGCGGGACCACGGCCCACCCAGTCTTCACCTGCCCAAACGTCGTATACAGGAACACAGGGATCTCGGCCACCGTCATGGCCAGGGCCTGGATCACGGACATGCCCTCCGTCCTCCGGAACGCCATGGCAGTCGCAACACCGCAGGCAAGAGCCCTGGGGCGAGTGTTCCCAAGGAGAGCGTCTTCAACTGGTTGCCGGCTGGGTCCCAGGCACCGCCCACGGCCGGGAAAGACAGGAATGCACATACCAGAGGGTCCCTCCGCAGAGCTGGGAGACAGATGACCAAGTCAGATACAAGGCCATGCGCAGAGGAGCAGAGAAACGTACACAAGGGCGCCCCAGGGGATGAGGCAGGAGCAACGCCTCCTTCTGCAATGCCAGGCCTGGAACCCCGGCCTCCTGCGCCTACCAGTGGGAAGGCAGTCAAATGCCCCTCGCCTCACCCGCAGCCCACTACGAGCCCTGGGGGCAGAAGGCAGTGCCTCGGCACGCCGGCCCAAGGGCAGGGGCGGGGCCAGGGCCTGGGAGACGGACAAGTCCCTCTCAAAGCCGATGGCCTTTTTTGCTAAACAAAATTGTCAGGCCTCTAAAAGGTCAGGCCCCAGACTGAGAATCATTACAGTTTTTCACCTCGCACAAAGCCAAGGATGTTTTACTTCCTGTGGCCTGTATTATGAAAAGAGCAGGGTATTTCCTCAAATAATAATGGCCACTACACACCTGTGTATATTTTGCGCTAGGTTCTTCACATATGTTATTTCACTGAATGATTACAGTTCTGTGAAGTGGATGCGCTCTACCTGCGCCCCCAACCCTTGCCAATTTCCAATGAGGAAACCAGGGCTCAGGGAGGCTGTCAGGAGTGCGCAGCTACACAGCTGGTATGAGGTAGAGTCACAACTTGGCCCAAGGTCTCTCAGACTCTAGGCTCTGTGCTCAGTGCAGCCCTTTTGCTGAATGTGACACGGAGCAGGCAGTGGCAAGCCCCAGAGGAGCCACAGGCTGCAATGGCAACTCTCTCAGGGCGAGATCCTTCTGAGACCCTGCCGGGGTGGCCCACGGCCCACCGCCCACCCCACGGCACAGGATAAGTGGCTCAGCCGCAGACAGCCCCGTTCCCACGATCCTGCAGCGTGCTCCTAGCCGCCGCCGCTGCCACGAAGACCGAGGATGCCTCCCAGGTCTCCGGGGAGCTCAAGCAGAAGGAATACACAGGCCGGGACAGGCCCTGTCTACTTGGGATGGTAGCCAAAGTCACTGGACAGTGCAAGAAACAGCTCGTCCCCAGCGAGTGGGAAGGAAGGACACTGCTATCAGTCTAGCTCTAGGGCTGGGCTGTGAGTGAGGGGGTTGGCGGAATGTTCTAGGACGAAGGAAACTGGCATGTCAAGGGTAGGAGACATCCCGTCAGGAAGCTGCAAATTGAGCTACGTGATTGCCAGTGGTCAGGGAGAGGGCTAGTATCACAAGCCACTCCTCTCACCTCCTCCGGCGGCCATTTCCCAAGCACTTCCTACCGGCCAGGCACGGGACCGGATTCCCACAGAGGGCTTTGAGTCTAGTCACTCCCAGAACTCTGACGGCAACCGCTATATAAGATAAGGAAACGGAGCTCCAAGAGGTAAGTGAACCAAATGAGGTCACTGGGTGAAGGGCCAATCTGGATGTGACCTCAGTTCTAGGGGATCTCAAGGCTATGGGTCTCCCCTGAGCTGTCTGCTGCAACTGCCACCTCTCCCTCCATGCCACACCTGAAGGACTTCTGGGTCTCCAAGAAGTCCACATGGAGCAATAAAGATGAGCCCGAACACATGCTCCAGGAGTGGGACGGGGCTGAGAGGCCTGGAGTGTGTCTGCAGGAAAGTCAAGAGCAGCCTCTGCTGCCCCAACTGAGGGAAAGGACGCCAGATACAAGGTGACAACACCCATCCCCAAACCTGCTTCACTCCAGGGATGTATCCAGATCCAGCCCAAACACACCCTATCCAACCTCTGGCACCACCTGGAGAGCAGCCTCCACGATGATAAGCCCATGGCAATGTCCCCAGCCCAGGGACACTTTTAATGCCACCCCCACCTGGGCAGTCACCTCTCCTGCCCTATAACCTTGGACAGAAACCTACTCATTCCGCCCTCACCGTGGCACTTACACCCTCAGGCTGGACGCCCACACTCTCCACCTGGACTCTCCCTTGCCCTGGACGATCCTATCAAGGACTCTGGCCTTAACAGTCCTTTCAGCCTTGACCTCAGCAACGACCCTGACCCAGGCACTCCCTTTTGCCCAGTCTCAGTTCATTCCACCCGGGACACCTCACCAACCCGACCCGACCGGGACCTGGGCACTACCACACCGGACGTCAGCAATATCCCCGTTTTCAGAATCTGCTCATTCCACCCCAGACATCTCCTAAAGCAGCCCTAGTCAAGCTCCCTCCTCGCTTGCCCCGGCACCGGGAATATCCTTGAGGGTCCTCCACGTGCCCACCGGCGCCGCCCACAGCCGGCGCACCTGCTCCTTCCATCCCGGGTACTTTCCCAGGCCTGCTCCGATCCCCACAACGTTCCAGGCCCGGGCATCTCCTCGCTGACCCGGTACCTTTCGTTCGATCTCTCGCGCCGCCCACGACCAGATACCTGCTCATTCCAACCTGGGCCCTTCTAGTCTGGCTGAGCCCGGATACCTGGGCCCCTACCCAGTCCTCCGCGCAGGCTCGGCTCCCGCCCGCGGCAAGCCTCAATCCCGGGCCCGGCCACGCCGCCCGACACCCGGCAGGCTCAGCCCGGGCCACCACTCACCAGGGATCCCATAGCTGCGGAAGGGCAGCGTCTCCTTCCCCGGCGTCCGCGCAACCAACCCCTCAGCCGTTCGGGGGCGTGGCCTTACGTGGGGCCAACTCCCATTTTGGCCAATGAGCGTCCCTGAACCGTTCCGCCCCGCACCGAGGGACTGTGTCACGTGATCTACTTAGCCGCAGCTCTTCCTCTGCCCCGCCCCCCAAGTGCGGTTGAGGCAAGAAAGTGATCTTTCCTTTCCTATGATTGGCCACAGAGATTATATTGACATGGGAGGCTGGTTGAGTGAGGCGGAGCAGCTCTTAAAGGGGCTCATGAAAATCAATGAGGTTTTGAAGGGGCTTCGTTAAAGGAAGCTGCGGCGGTCTGGTCCCCCGTGTTTGGCTCACCGGCCTCTTTGGGGCCCCAGAGACAAGTCCTTCCCGCCCTTCAAACGCCCATTTTCAAATGCCCGCGCCTCCGACTTCCCGCAGCATTCTCTTTCTACCTTCTTCAGGAGTTGTTTGCAAAGTGCTGCGTCTCCCTCACTAAAGAGTGTCTCCTTGAGAGTTGGAGTCAAGTGATTGGATTCTGACCATCCAACTGTGCCTTGTATTAAACCCTCGGTTTGGAATCAGGCCGACCTGAGTTGTACCACTCAGGAATCAAGTTGTACCACTTCATCTTTCCGGAGTTCACTCAGTTTACTCCTCTGTAAAAATGGCAGCGGAATTCCTGCCTTGCCCGAGTCACAGGGCTTGGGTGGGGCTTGGAAGAAAACTGTGTGGCAGCCCTTTTATAACTGTGAAGAGCTGGGCACATCTAAGTTTTTAAACTGTAATTATCAGTAAGGGCACATTCTTTCATTCAACAACTAATATTTCTTTTCTGTGTGCCAGTCTTTTGGCTGGACATGAGAGCTCAGCAGTGGACAAGATACATGTAATTAAGATACTTAAATATAATCTTGTGTAATATTGCTCGAATAGGGGAAACTCAGGAATGTGGGGAACACCAAGGGATACGGGGATCCCTTGGTAGTCCCCCTTCATGCTGCGTTGAGAGGCTCGCTAAAGAAATGGACATCCAAAGGGAGACCTGAAGAATAAGCAGGAATTAACTGGACAGGAAGGGGGGGAAGGAGTTCCAGAAACAGCATGGGATATGCCCCAGAGGCAAGAGGGAATCTGGCATCTTTGATTCAAGGTGGCAGAGAGAACAGCAGCCAATGAGCCAAGGAAGAGGGAGCCAGAGCAAAGGAGAGCAGGCTACACCCCCAGGCTGCCTGGGTTCTGGGCTGAAATCCACCACTTCCTTCCCTGTGACCTTGGGCAAATCACTCAACTTCTCCAAACGTCATCATCCTTGCCCCTAAAATGAGGCGGATGATGGTTCCTGAGCTGGTATGAGAATCTTAGGTGATTATTCACTTAAAAGTTCTTAGTGCTGGGCCTGGCATGGGCTCAGGACACTTTGGCCATTGCTGTTAGAAAAACGGCAACCGTCAGGTGGAGAGCTAGAAGAATAAGTGAAACAGTTAGGCGGGGGCAGCTATAAGACCAGCAATAATCAGCGCCTGCTCTCTCACTCTCTCCCCTTTATTGTGTTTTTCTTCCTAGGACGTGGCCCCTGACGTGTTACAACTTTGTTTGCCCAAGAGGAGAGGGGCACCGTTTTGTTCACTGCTGCATCCCTGTTGTCTAGAACAGTGCCTGGCACATAATAGGTGCTAAAAAATACTTTGTCCTTGACCAAACCTGAGTCAGCTCCTGTGAGCCCACTGCTCAACAAGGCTCAGCCTTGGCCTTCCATCTCCATCCTTGTAGAAACGTTCCAGCAAGAATCCTGCTGAGTCAGTTTAGCAAAAATCCTCCCACCCTTGGTATCTGATCATCCATACTTGATGGAGTTCCACCTTCTCCACCCTCCACATCTTATCACCCTGGCCTGCCTTCAGTAAGATTCCCGCTAGCCTTGATGCTTTCTCTTAGTCATCTTCCATTCGCTGCCCGCACACACCCTGCTCTTTGGCTATAAATCTCCATTTGACCTTCTTGTATTTGGAGTCGAGCCTGATCTATCTCTCCTGTTGCAAACCCTCACTGTGCAAGTCTCTCCTGAATGGTCTTCTTTACCATCTTTAACAAGTATCATGAATACTTTTTTCTTTAACAGTGCTCAGTGTGAGTTATTGCGTGAATGAATATGTAAGTATATGGATAAATGCCTGTTGAAAGATGATATTGAGGCAGGAGATAGCATAAGAAGAACTCTGAGAGTGTGCTGCTCTTACTGGCCAGCATCTAGCCTCCTGGTTGCCATGAAATGCCTTTTAGCACTGAGGCAGAAGGAACAGCAAGCCAAGGCAAGGAGGAGGGAGACATGCCTCACCCACTCAACTCAGCAGTCCTGAGCCTGGTCCGATAATATTACCAGGTGCTCCAACATCACAGGAAACGCTGTGCTAGCACAGGAGGGGGAGGTCCTTGAAATTCTATGTAGCGTTTCCACTATCTAGGAACGAAAGCCTTTGAATCTGTGCTTTCATTCCCAGGCCAGGGTACACAGTGCCCAAAGAAGCTCATAAAACAACTTTGGTCAATTGCCCATCTCGGGCAATTGACCAAATCTGTTTTTACGAGGGAGCTCCTAATGCTTACAGAAAGAACCCACAAATAACTTTGGGTAACTGCCCCAATTGGGACGTGACAGGAGGCAAAAGTAACTGCCTCCTGTCACGTATGTGTTTTACAACAAGATGAACAAAGGGGGTCTGGAGCAAGATAAAGATTCAGGCTAACAGACCCCCACACATACCTGTGTTTGGGTAGTCACATCACCCAGGGAAAGCTGGTACCATCTTTACCTGACAATTGGTATGTAACTTTTTCATCCCCCTTCCGCCAGCTATGTAGGTCCTCAGAACAAAGGACTCCGTCTCTTGGCTCTCTGGCCACCCAGCCTCAGGCCACCTGGCATTTGGCCACCTGGGACTTGCCATCCCAGCCTTGTCAGCCTCTCAGCCACCCTCCCTTTCCCTGCTTTGCCCTGAACCTGTGCCTTTCAGCCCCCTCACCTTAGCTGGGTCCGTTCCCTCACATGGAAACGGATCACTAATAAACCTTGATTGCACGCTAATAGATTTGCTGATCTGGAATTCTTTACATGCGTCAGCAAGAAGAACCAGGTCTCTCCTGTCAACAGTATGGCTCGATGCTGGCTAAATAAATGATATGGTCAACTATAGAGGCAGATGCTGGTAAGTCAGTCAATGACCAATACAGATGAGTAGAAACACATAGTGAACACAGAAATGTACAAAGAAACATATACTGATGATCTGCAAGTGCGTATGAGACAGGAAGTCGATGATGGCTCCACACAGATAATAATTCAGATCAGTGGTTTTGAACCTGGAGTGCACATTTAAATGGCCTGGAAGCTTTTCAAAACTCCACCTGCCTGGGCCCCACCCATCCTGAAAGAACCAGGGCTGGGAGTGCGACAGGGGTCTGTGTTATCAACACACCAGTAGGTGACTCAAGGCTCACCGTGCACAGACAGACTGGGGTAGATGATGGGGAACTGGGGTAAGTGTAGGGAAATAAAGCCAGGCATCCAGGGGACAGAATCAGAGAGGACAGGGTACCAGTTCAGGAACACACTCTCCACAAGTTTAAAAAGATGAATCCTACAGGTTGAGAGCACGGAGAGGTGGAGACAGGTCATTAGCCCCTTCTCAAGCCTCACCAGAACAGGCACGTACTGGTAGACCATCCCCTGGCCCGGCTGGGATTGTGAGGAGCTAGGTTCAAGGTCAGCGCATGTCCATTCTCCACTCCCTCCTCCACCTGGACAGAATGAAAGCGCCCCCCTTCTCTTCTCTTCTCTTCTCTTCTCTTCTCTTCTCTTCTCTTCTCTTCTCTTCTCTTCTCTTCTCTTCTCTTCTCTTCTCTTCCTTCCTGTAACCCCTCTGTACACCCTCCCCGAACTTTGGGGACCTAAAGGGTTGGGGGACAAATAGCCTTTGTCCAGTGGTGGTCCCCAGCCAGCCTGTCCCCTGGCTCAGTTGCTCTTACTGTCACCAAGGTCAAGGGTAGAAGAGGAAAGGGTGCTGGAGAGAGTTCAAGGTGGTGATGGAGGCAGTGAGCGGTGCAAGGAGGTGGAGAAGTAGGGAGACCGAGAGCCAAGGGGCCGAGGGGTTGCAAATGGACAAAGAGAGATGAAGAGGCACCAATGGGTGAGGAGCCAAGAGTCGAAGAAGCGAGAGAAGCCCGCTAGGCGGCGTAAGAAGGCTGCAAGGGGCAGCAGCCAGCAGCGCAAGCCCGGCCGGCCGCCCCGCCCCGCCTCGCCCCGCCCTGCCCCGCCCCGTCAGGAAGGCTCCACCCCCGCACCCCGCGTCCCGCCCTGCGCGCTCCGGCTGGCTCGGCTGCGGCGGCTGCGGGTAGGAGGGCTAGCGGAGGGCGGGCGCACCGGCAGCAGGTGGGCGGGGTGCGGGCCAGCCGGGGCGGGCGGGGGGCGCCTGGCTGCGCTGGGGCCGGGCGCGGCGGGCCGTGCGGTGCGCCATGGACTTCAACATGAAGAAGCTGGCATCGGACGCGGGCATCTTCTTCACTCGGGCAGTGCAGGTGAGGCCGTGCGCCCTGGGCCCCGCGCGCCCGGTTCCCGGGTCCCGGATGTGGGGCGGGCCCGGAGCACCCCTGCAGCAGATCCCGGGGCGCGCAGGAGAAGTCCCTGGAGGCAGCTGCCTCCTTCCCCGCTGCGCAGACACCTTAGCCCTCCGTGTACCCTACTCCTGCAATGCCCAAGAGAGAGAAAGAGCTCAGGCGGCCGGCCACACTGGCCGCACCCTAGGCGTGGCGCGGGTCCGGGGACGGAGCCGGGCCTCGGCCCAGTTGCCTGAGAGAGAAGTATCAGTGTTAGTCATTTCGACCGGCCGGGTTACCCCGCTGCCCTGGCGCCGGCCCAGGGGCCGGTGGGGGCTCCGCTGAGGAGAGGAGAGGAGAAGGCACCAAGCGGTGCCTGCCTCCCTGCCCTTGTCCAGCAGTGACTCTGGCTCCCCGCAGGCCTTGGGAGGCCTGAGA